AAAAACAAATTTAATAGTAAAGCAGAATTACTGAACACCGACATTGATTCTTTAATAGTATATCATTTCTTTGTTGACGACATATATGAACAATGAACATATTAATGATATTAATAAATTAGTAGTATTACTTTTTTAATTTTCAGGTGTGCAAAAAAAGCACTAATTTTGAATTTTCTGAGAAATATCGATGTCAGAGGTAAATTTCACTAATGGTATCGTATTCAGCACCTCAAAATACTACGAAAATGATATATTTAAACAAAATTTAGGGAAAAAATAGTTTTGACCTATGTTTGGGCTAGTTTTCACACAAATTTTTCACTTTTCTCCAATATTTGTCGTGAAGCCATGAATTGTAACTACAGGATCATATTCAGCACATCGAATTCCTTCGGAAATAATATGTGGCTCTCTTGGGTTTGGACTTTCTTTTGTATTTAGTCTGTGTAGTCTAACAGTAAGTACAAAACAAGTGGCAAGACCTCACAATATGAACCATAGAACAGTTTGGTGAATTCTTACAATTATCTGCGTTATAATAATAATAATAATAATAATAATAATAATAATAATAATTCCACAATTTACATATAAAATAATAATAATAATAATAATAATAATAATAATAATAATAATAATAAAAATAATAATATTTCATTATTATCATAATTGTTATATACATGGTGTTCCAGGAATAAATACAAAAAATTAACTACCTACTTATTTAACTCATCAAAACTTTTTTCCTAGTAATTTTTTTCGAAAACTGTAAATGATTTCTGTTATTCGTTATACTGTTAATATAATAATACTTTATGAGAAATCTGAATTATTGGTATGTGTATCCTAGAAGTTATTGGCAGTGTTCCTCCTACTGATCCAACTGTTCTCTCTTTGCCTTAGGTGAATAATAACATGGAATATTGTTAAAGTAGACTAATCAGTTAAAAGTCAGAAGGAATTGTAGTTTATTTCTTAGTACAAATGATTTCAGTGCAGTACGGAAACCCGATGAAATACCGCTCCGTCTGCTTTACCTATTTTTCATCGAATCACAATCCTTCCGCGTCAGTACTTTATTGCAAAAAGTGAATATCCCTTTAAGTTGAATGTAATGCAGTAAGATTCAATACGGTACAAACTATAGCGAAGCAAGCTGAATTTCATTTATGTCTCTCGGCAGATTTCAAAGCGCATTTCATTTTATTCCATTGAACTGCGCCTACTGCTGTCTGCACGGCTACCATCATGCCTGTTACTGCGAGGAATTGTGTTAATGTGTCTGTCGATTTGGTCTTAGATTTTTCCCCAGTGATTTATCTTCACAATTAGGGCTCTCGATATTTCTACAATATATCATTAACCGCAATCACTTGAATTGCACTAAAAGCAATTTTCAATCGGAGTGTTGATTCTGCTCTAATAAATCGAACAGCTAGTTGCGAATAACATATAATTCCTCCTCGTGAACATGCGCTTATAATATTCTGCAACACTATTAGTGAAGTGAATTTCATTCAAACAATACATTTTTGGTAAAAATTTAATAACGTACATTTTTCAATATTTGGAAAAAGATAAATACCTTTAAAACATTATTTGTATGTCCTCTAATAACAGGTACACAAATTTTTTAAACAAAAAAGCTTTATTTAATAAAATAAAACACGTAAAAATCCCGTATTCTTGCTTTCTATTATCACACTTGACAAAGGTTAATCACGTAAAAAGCAGTTGCTACAAACAGATCTGTTTCTTTCCACAATTTACTAGGAATTGTTTCATCAGATAGCATCCCTTCTCGTATTGAATTATAAACATAACAGAAAAAATATTATATATAAATATCAAACTTTAAAAAGAAATGACATTTTGAAAAGTCGTGGGTTTTTCTCAGTTTAACTTAATATCCATTCATAACTTTATCCTCTTTCTGGCAATAATGACAACTATTTTTAATTTGATTGATAATTCCATTTGGAAGTTTTTGGGTTTTTGGAGAATTTTGATTAAATGAGCGGGTTGGGTACAAAAAAATATTTTTTAAATGTCTACATTATCTTGCCACCCATATTAAACAATACTTAACAAAGTGCTAGTAGGCACTGATTTTGTAAGTTAACTGTAATTTAAGTTTGATCTTTAAGTCATTGTACCTGCCAATTCTTAATGAGTATTTACTACCACATGTTACTTCATTTTTCGATATGCATACACACACATACGACAAATTAGAGTTATTTACAACATGCCTAATTTTATTGAGATAATTAGTAAAAACAATCAAATACAATAAAAATTGCTTGAGAAGTTACCAAGTTGATGTTATTAAAGGACCCCGCACAAATCTTATGGAAATTGGGTCCCGGTCAAATTCGCTGAATTTTTGATATGTGATAGAGTTCATCATACTGGTCAATTGTCTCAATGGCCACAAAGCTCAAAAATGGATAGTTTGGCCGGTACAGAGCTTTAAAGCTCCGAATATCCTCCACGGATTTATGTATATGCGCAGTGTGTATAGACTTATGAAATAGCCTATTTCATTTTTTTTATTATCTAGGTCTATATCTTTGAGGTTGCTGAATTCAGATCTGTTATTAGATTTTCAAAATTGACAGTTGGCAGCTGTCAAATAACTGTCAATGTGCTATAATAAAGCCAAAAACTTGTTTTTTATGTTTTTTCTTTCTTTTTTTTTTAGTTCGATAAGTTCAAAGACGATATCAAATCAATAACAATGACTATCGGCAGCTGTCATTTAGCTGTCAACAATTCTTCAAAGTCCGGTAATAAAGTCAAAAAATTATTTTTTGTTTATAACTTCAAGTTTTTTAGATAAGTGAATATAAATATGATAATATAAAATTATGTAGTCATCAGCTTACAGCTGTCAACAAGCTGTCAACTAACTGTCAAAATGCAATAATTGAGCAAGTAACTTATTTTTTGTGCTTAACTTTGTGGATAACAAATCAAACATGATATAAGTTTATGACATCACTTTTGAACTCAGTGATCTAAGCAACTTAAAGCTTTTTAAAAAAAGTAACTTTTTGACTTTATTATTGCATTTTGCAAAATCAAATAATTGACATACTCCACTTGTCTTATTGCTGTCATTTGTATGCTACTGTCCATTAAGTATTATTCGTACCTAAAATTACATCTTAATTTAAATTGTATGTACATAAATGTGAGATGGAATGCCGAGACTTCCGTTTTTTAGGGTTACATGAAATCAATTGTTTATGGAGAAACTATAAACACCTGTTAAGAACTTTGGCAGCAGGTTTTAAATGCTGCAAAGTCATTTCGCATTAAGGATTTATACTTTACAACAAGACAATCTTTTAATAACGCGTTGATAAATGTATAATAATATTTTTAAAATTGGTTTAAAATTGGTTTAATTGGTTTTTCAAGAACAAAACTATGTGTAAACTGTTTGTCAAAACAAGATTGCAAATTTTAATTTAAAAAACAAGCAAAAATTTATGCATTCATTGTACAGTTACCATTTTTTATAAAATAGTTACAATAGTTTATAAAATAAAATATACATTTACGTTTTTTGAACAAAGAAATCATTTTGATGGAGATTAATTAAATTAGTTAGACATAATTATTTATGAATTTCAATTTGTGTTGCTCCTGTTAACAAGATAATTTTCTTATTTATTCTTCCTTATATTTTCATTAAAAAATTAATTATTTTATGAACATTAGGTACCACAAAAATAGATATTTTTCCCATTTTTATGGCAAATTTTCCAATCTCTTTGGCGGACATGTATATTATTGTGTTATACATTTCAATTATTAGAGAAAAAAATCAAAACCAGATTGCTGGTTATCACCAACCATGTTGTCAACTTCTCAAGAATTTTGTCGGACAATAAGATACTTTCATTTCAAATCTTATTACCAGACCCTCCCAGAAAAATCAGCTTGCTGGTTGTCACCAATCATAGTGTCACCAAATCGACATATTTGGCATGGGGGACAAACTCAAAATACCAACATTTTTGTCGGACAAATTTTTTGGGGGGTTTAAAAAATATATATCTTTCATTTAAACTTAAAAAAGAGTGCTGATCATAACATTCCATGTTTATGCCAGATTGACATGTTTTCCTGAAAATCACGGGGAAACTTACCACTGTTGAATTTTCTTCGTAGTCAAATCTTGGGAGACTCGTCAAACTTAAGCTGCACGCAAAGTTACAGCTTGCTGGTAATCATTTTTTTTTTTTACGTGGGCCCGTGGACTATAACTCGGATAAAGTGTTTTCCAAAAATTCTAAATAAAATTCCCCATTCTGTCTATTGGGCAGAATAACAGGGCCAATAATAATGCGTTGTATTTGATTGTTTTTTCTAATTATTTCAATAAAATTAGGCACGTTGTAAATAACTCTAATTCGTCGTATGTGTGTGTATCCATATCGAAAAATTAAGTAATAGCTGGTATATCTTCTCGTCGTCAAAAAGTCAGATACAGTGACTTAAAGATTAGACTAAAATAATTACAGTCAACCTACAAAATCAGTGCCTACTAGCACTTTATTAAATATAAAGGCAAGGCAATTTATATCTTCTTTTAGCTGTGAATTTGTGATCATGATTTGAAACTATAGACTATAGATACTCGTTTAAAATTCGAGAGTGCCATTGATTAGTATTTGATTGAAAAAACATTTGAGGTAATTAATTATATACATTACTTATATAGGTTCTAACAGACTTCTAGAAACATGTATTAGCTCGAAAAGAGAAGCTTAACCCAAGTTATTATTTAAAAATAAATTACTAACTTGTCATGCAAAGCAACGACTGTTTATAAAAAACACATGTATACTTATAATTAATGATTTCTCTAAAAATATAGTTTTTCCTATTTTATTATTTATTAACAACCTCAGTTTAGTACGACCATTTTACATTAAATCTAATCTGAAAGACAAATATTTTAATATATTTCCATTAATTTACAGCCTCCATCCTTGTGGCAATAGTGTCAGGTTTTACAATAACGAATGAAGACCCTATTTTACCAATCCAGCAGATATTAGACGATAATTCCTTTTTAAGGACTTTTCCCAACAATGAACAAGAAATTGTTAAGTGCCCTGAAGGTACTCATTTAGACAAATCTAGTTATATCTGTCACTTTGACGAAGCCAGTTCTGGTAAACCGATTTCACCTTTTGGAGTGTGTTCATCTGGAATTGGAGACTTTTCAAATCCTGAAAGCTGCAGGTAACTAAAACCATAGTTTAAACCATCCAGTTTAAACAGATGTCTAAGTATTTTATTCAATAACCGTCGTTTCATGAAGTCAAGCTTTCAATTAATTGATTGATAATTTTAAATAGCAGCAGGTAGTACTGCCTAATACAACTTGAACTAAGATAACGTATCTATGTAGTTTTCCTCCTGTTACTTTTTTATTAGAAATCTTGTCTTTTAATATTTGGGTGCACAAAATAAGGAAAATATATGCCAAAGTAGCGCTCCATAAATTACTCGAATGAGCGTTATTACTCTTATATCTTGAAGCGCTAACTGGAGCGTTACAAATAGATCGTGGTGAAGGAACACGCAAAACTATACGTATAATGAAAGAACTCCCTGAAGGAAAAGGATTACCAACCACATCTACTTGAACATCTGCAGCTGCAGGGCAAACTAGTTTCAATATTCCCAATATCATCGCACCAATGGTTTCGAAAATAGATATGCATCGACTTTATTAGAAAATGTCTTCTGAAATTGAATTTGGTTAGAGATATAACATGTAGGTATATTTTGCAACGCTCGGGATCTAACTTTAAACAATGAAGGAAAGACAATATTAATTTTACGATTTTTCCATAAATAAGCTCGTTTTGGGCATATTTAATAATAAATTTTATGCATATTACGTTCTAGTTATGCTGCCATGCAAAATTATAAATTACTTATATTCCTCTAATTTCGCATTAATTTATTTTACATTAAAAGTTACTGTTCCATATATCACCATCAACATCTCTTATACAAAAAGATTTATAAAGTAATGAGTATACCGAGGTGATTAAAAAGGAGTTCCTCAAAATAAATTTTCGACAAAAATGTTAATTCAAACTCCTAATTTTTTAAATTCGTTTAAGAAATAGAGGATGTTACAGCCTAGTGTCAATCCAAAAATTATGAACTTTGAAACAAATGAATGATTGGATGAGACCTCATTAAGTTCTCTTTTAAAATGTGAACAGATCTGGAGTTAACCGATATTCGTAAATTCTCTAAGAAAATCTTGGAGTCATATGCGTCTTATTAGTTAGCTTGGAACACTTTATATTCCAAATATCCCGATAAAAAGAAATATAAATCATTAAGATCAGATAATTTAAATGGATGTTCTATAGAGTCTCTACTTCCATTCTATTCTCCAGAGTCAATTATCTAAAAATTGTCGAGCATTTAAAACAAAGCGTTTAGAAGTTAGTTTCAAAAACCGTCGTTTCATAATTCAGTTGTTTTATCAAAAAATTTGCAGATTTTTTATTCAATAAAATTTTCTCTTACATTTAATTTCCTTATTACTTTGATTTGTTTATTATGTTACTATGTAACCATATCGATTCATAATCATTGGGATTTACATATACAGGGTGTGCTCCTGTAACACTCCCGCTGCCAATATCTCCGAAATGAAGAAATTTATTTTAGTTCCGAAAATTGAGGTTGTTAGGTTTCTCGAATAGCTTCAAATTGTAGTTAGATAGTTCAAATCCTTCTGTATAGATGGTGTGGCGATACTAAAAAAAATTTTGATCCCTGGAACGTGGAAATGCAGTATAATGTTTTTCCCTATATTTACTTGTTTTCGAGATATGTCCACTTCAATACGCAATGTTTGATATAACAGGAAAATATATTATTTTTTCTAAATCACACCGAGACAAAATATTCTTTTAAAATATTGTTATAATGGCTTTACTCACACCACATACTAACTAACAAACAATAAATTATAAAAAGACAAATGAATCAACTACAGAAAAAAAATTGTGCAATGGTAAATCGTATAACTAGTATAGTTAAATTGAAAGACCCAAATTGATAAAACTGTAATTATTGGAAAACTAATATGTGTCATTTGTCATTGTTTTATTTTAAACAAATGACATAAACCACCTACGACTGCATTTTTTAATAACATTTGATAAAATACGGTTCGTCTCTGCCCCTTATAAGATTTACCAACTAACTTAATATTTTAAACTATAATTAATTCCACTATAATATCGCACACGATATTAAGCTTCTCTTTAAAAGTACCTGTTTAGGGATTTTACGGGATAAAATTTCCTATAAGTTCCTGTGTACGTATCTGTGCCGTATATAGTTTCAGGGAACGACCTAGTAAATTATCTCAAATTTAACCCATTGCTATGAGGAAGTACTACTAAGGACTTTTCATTATTGTATGTTGTTAAAATGCACTTCGAGATAAATGATATAAAAGTCCACTTATAGATAATTATTGCCGAAAGCGGCAAAACATCAATTTTTTAAATGAAAATAACAGCGCCACAAAAAAGTGGCAGGTCCGAAAGACAAGACCATGGTACCTATATGGTTTTGGGGTCGCTGAATCCGAATCCGGTGTCCGTTTGAGACGATTAGCTCTGGTTTAAGGTCAGTTCAAGGTGAAATGTAGAAAATCAATTGTCAACAACCTAAACCTATGTACCTATCTATTTTTCAACTTATGTATCGTTTTGGGGTCGCCGAATCCGAATCCGGTGTCCGTATGATGCGATTAGCTCTGGTTTAAGGTCAGTTCAATGTCAAATGTAGAAAATCAATTGTCAACAAACTAAACCTACGTATTTACACGTTTTTGGAGTCGCCGAATCCGAATCCGGTGTCCGTTTGATTCGATCAGATCTGGTTTAAGTTCAGTTCAAGGTCAAATGTAGATAATCAATTGCCAACAAAGTAAATCTGCATATCTATAATTTTTTGGGGTCACCGAATCCGAATCTGATGTCCGTTTGACTCAATCAGATCTGGGTTGAGGTCAGTTCAAGGTCAAATGTGGAGAATCAATTGAAAACAAAGTAAACTTACATATCTATACGTTTTGGGGGTCGTTGAATCCGAATCTGATGTCCGTTTGAAGCTGCAGGTCTATTAAATACTTTCTAATAGAAATAGATCAATCAGCATACGAAAAATATTTATATAAATATTTTGGTTTTAAACCTAAATGAAAAATTTGATTGGGTTTGAGCAGAGAGAAAGGTTTCACCAAGATATTAAAGAAGGGAGAAATTTGGGTGGCAATGAAACTATCACTGATATTGCTAGTGATACTAGTGACAACGAATATATTCCATATCACGTTGTGAAAAAGACAGGAGCAATATCACAAAAAAAGTAAATTATGTTCGAGATTTGAGCCTGGCAGAGAATGGAGCAGAGTTCCTAATATCACGGCTAAAAAAAACTAAGCAAGCCGGAAAAGTGACAGCTTTTTACTATCAGTACAGGAATAAGGAATATTTTTCTAACGATGAAGAATTTTCCTTAGATTACTACAATGATATTGTTGGATAAATTACTTCAAACATGGATGTTATAAACCTAACGCACATTGAAATAGGAGTGCCATATTTTGAGGATAGTTTTACATAGGATCAAATACGAACAACATAAATGGCTTTACATTTGACCTTGAACTGAACTTAAACCAGATCTGATCGAGTCAAACGAACACTGGATTCGGATTCGGCGACTCCAAAAACATATAGAAACGTAGGTTTGGTTTGTTGACAATTGATTTTCTACATTTGACCTTCAACTGACCTTAAACCAGAGCTATTCGCGTCAAACGGACATCGGATTCGGAATCGGCGACCCCAAAAACGTATAGATACATAGGTTTAGGGGTCATCCATAAATTACGTAAGGGTTCAATGGGGGGGGGGGGGGGTCCTCAACATTTTCTTATCATTCCTTACTTGGGGGGAGGAGGGGGAATGAAATTCTTACGTAATAAAATAATGTAGATTAATTTTTCTATTTTTCTTGGTATATATGTATTTATAATATAACAAATATATTAATAAATGTTATTATTAGAAGTTGTAAAGCTTTTTTTATAATAAAAAAAAATTAATTAAATCATGTAATGTATTACGTAAGGTGGGGGAGGGGGAGGGGGAGGGGGGTTATGAAAAATCTTACGGTTTCTTTACATGGGGGGAGGGGGGAGTTGAAAATGTGAAAAAATACCCTTACGTAATTTATGGATGACCCCTTAGTTTGTTGACAATTGATTTTCTACATTTGACCTTGAACTGACCTTAAACCAGAGTTAATCTCGTCAAACCGATGCAGGATTCGGATTCGGCGATCCCAAAAACACATAGGTTTAGTTTGTTGACAATTGATTTTCTACATTTGACCTTGAACTGACCTTAAACCAGAGCTAATCGTGTCAAACGGACACCGAATTCGGATTCAGCGACCCCAAAACCATATGGATATCATGGTCTTTCGGACCAAGCACTTTTTTTTGTGGGGCTGTGTAATTATTCGAGTAACCACACAAACTCAAGCTCTACCTGAAATAAACAACATATTTTCATTAATTTTCAGCACCTTGTATATCCAAAAACCTAGCATTTCCAGAGACATATTTATAGGAATTATATTTGTTCATTTTCGTCGTAGAATCCGTCATTAAAGTTTGGTTCTGCATTTTAGTTCGTCTTATATACAGGCTGCCCGTTTTTCTAGCCGCACCAGTGATTATGTTATAGGATACAAGGGCAGTCAAATTAGTATCCTGTACATTAAAGTATCTTTAAAAAAAAATTTAAACCGTTTTGTAAAATCATTATTGTTTTTCTAGAACCTTCGTCTCTTGCGGACCATCAGGTGATTTTACCGTAACCTGTTCTGCAAACCTACTTTACAATGAAGTCACAAAAAAGTGCGACTGGCCTACGAAAGCAGGATGTTGCGAATATGTAGAATATAACTCCAGCAGGTTGGTCCAGAACAGCTCCTAAACGAGAAGCTAATTCATATACAGATGCCAAATAGGAACCATCAGTCGCCATAATTTCAGTGTAATTTACTCTATAATAAATTAAATTCAATACGTACAGAATTTGTTCAGGAAAAACTGTAGCGAAATAAAGTTTCGACATATATTCTTAAGAAAAATGTGATATTAAACACTTTTAGTAATATAATATTTATTTAGGTAATATTGTCTTTCGTAGTTATTATTATTATTATATAAAAAGCATTGACGTAAAGTATCTCTGGAACTGTAACAAGATTTTTTCCGTAAACTTAAATCTAGCAAAATTGTATCAATATTTAACTCCTTCATATTCGTGTGGAATAAACCTTGGGAGTGTCAAAAGCCGCAGTACGGATACATTAGTTTAGGAGGTGGTGAATACTTTTCATAAGACATTGTGGCCTGAAACTACACCTGAAGAAAATTGGATTATAAATATATGAGGAGACATCAACAACGGATTATGTTACAGAAACAGCATATCACGTCATCTGAAGCATTAGACGATAAAAGATAGGTATTTCATGGATAAAAAATTGAATACAAAATGGTACATCTCAACCCACGGTTAACTACACAAGTCAGTCCAAGAAAGAAGAGTACTTGAAAAGGTGCTAAATTAAAAATGAGAGATTTAATACAATAAGCTACAAAGGTCCAGTACCTTTGGAGTCATTGCCAAGCGGCTCTCACAAAATATACTTTTTTATGAATTTAACAAATAGGTAGAAAATGAATACACAAAATTCTAGGGCATTTATTTTTGTCTTCGTGGAACCACGATTATGATCTTTATCAATCATAATGCAGATTTACACCCAGTTCCAGAACAGGACAATGAAACAAAACGTCAATCTAACAGAAAGTAATACAATGAATGTTTAAAATATGATTTGAAACTAATAAGGCTGCAATTAAAAATGTCAATGTGGCTGCATTTCTTATTATGAATTCTACATATAAAATATAAATGAGAATTTTGTAACAAAGTTCGAGCTATCTCCAGATGAAATGTTCATGACTGTCAAAGTTCCAGACAACAAATTATCTGATGCAGAGAAAACATCAACAATTTTTAAGATTAGGTTTATTAAAATATAATTGCTTTATAAGTTATACTTATGAGTGTTTGCAGAGATTTGCTCGTAAAAATGATAGACGAGATAGAAGATAAAGAAAGTCTATTGTTTTCTATAAAGTTCAGGACTGTAATTAATAGTCATACAAATAAACGTAAATCAAAATATCATTGATTTCTAAAGATTTTAAAAGTGATAAAATATTTGTACTAGTTTCTCACAGTAAAACAATGAAACACTTCACCCTACTTTTTTGATGCTACAGATGCTACAGGTTTGTGTTGTATAAATAAATCCAAAATATTTTCAGTAGATTGAAACCAATGGCCGAATGACCAAACTTTCTTCTGTTCTAGTCTGGATGTCACAAGTCTCAAAATTGTGTATTTTCTTCAGAATATACACAAGATGTGACAGCGACGTTACAAGAAACTTACAGAGTTGATTTCTCTTGAATCCCTCGTATTCCGATGCCGGTTAGTTTTTGTTCAATATACAGTCTGTCAGGTCGAATCACTTAGGATCGTACAGAGAATATCAATATAAAACTTTTACTCGCCATATTCTTTACTTGATATTCATTCTAATGAAGTTGTTCGGCCCAAATGGGTACCTAGAGATTTACATTTTGGCTTCTAACTTTAAAACGTATCCACGATTTAATGTTAAAATCTTTTACTATTACAGAAACAAACTGGCCCTGATACATATTTTTTCAAAATTTTGGCAGATATTCTATCGGACCGAAAACCTTTTCTTAGATACTCTGAAGATTTGTCTTTAAAAAAAGATACTCGTCGTTAACTTCCGTAAAAGGAACAGTTTTCGATAAATGAGTTTTTGAGGAAGGTGACAACTAGATTTTATTTTTTTTTAATTGTTTCATATATTTAGTGTAACTTTGCCAATTTTAAAAATCATTGTAGGGGTTATAGCTTATGAGAAACAAGTTAAATATTACCTAAAAAGAAACATTTATATAGTACTAAAAAACAAGAAAATGGTAAATGGTAGTTTCCATATAGATTCAACGAACAAAAAAATCGACCTCTTTAATTTTTTTGAAACTTTTATGTGACCCGTTTTCTTGTTTTTCCGAAAAAATGTTTTGGAGCTTTGTGGCGTTATGTCAAAGTTTACATCGTGATAGCGTTATTCCGAAAATGAAAATAATATAAAATATATAAAATAATATATTTTTTCAAGTGGTCGTCGTTTTGACCCAAATCATCCTGTCGAAAGGTTTTTTTTTTTTCAAAATGTGCATAATTTTATCAGCTTTTACCTGTTTTTTCAGAATTCAAATTATTTTAAAACTTTGTGAGATAAATGAGAAAAACGGAGTAATTTTTTTTCAAAATTGATTTTCTTAAAAACCCCACCTTTTATTTTCAACCTAACCTAACCTAACCAGCACATTTTGGAAAAAAAGCCCTTTCGGTAAGATGATTTAGGTCGAAGTGAATAAAATATGCATTTTCATTTTCTGAATAACATTGTCACGATGTAAATTTTGACATGGCTCCACAAAGTTCCAAAAATTTATTTTCGGAAAAACAAAAAACACAAGTCTCATAAAATTCAAAGTAGAACATCCCAAAGTTTAAAAAAAATCGATTGTTTTGCTCGTTGAATCCATATGGAAACTACCGTATATCACTTCGACAAGTTTTGAAAATCAGCTCCCATACACTTTTTTATTCTACAAATGTTTTTCCGGTGCACATGAAATAACATTCCATGACTGTGATGAATCTACTTTTTTACAAAAAATTCAGGGGGTAATAGTGTTATTCTAACCTCTCCTACACACTCCCGAAAGATTAGTAGATACTTCGGTAGATACTTAACGAATACCCTGTATAAAGGCAGAATATGAGCTACGATTACTATAAACGAAATTCTTTGCACAAAATTTGTTTATATCTGTAATGGTTTTTTAGTAATTGATCAAAAATTGTAATTCACTTCCATCAATATTTGAATTATTATAGAGCCCTTAGAAATCGTTTTATGAAAAAATGTTGCTCTCATTTTTCATTTGCTTTGAAGAGAAGGGCCAGCCCTGAAAGTTTGTGGCAACGCTGCTGTATACAATGTAAGTACAATTTTATTGAATTACTCTTAAATATTTACTGATAGTAGTTTTTAAAAAGTATGCATCAACAAAAACATCTAAATGCTGTTATTATCCTCAATATAGAGTTCGTCCGTTACTGGAATTATTTCTGTTGCCTTCATGTCGAATTGATTGCAGTTATGCCCCCTTATTCAGGCAAGCCAATATGTTATTTTTATTGGTCTCGTATACGACGTTAGTCCCTCGTTAGTACTGCTTAGTGGTTTCCTTTTCTTCAAATCATGTCATTATAAGGGTGTTCGTAACGTATAATGGGAAATCAGTATCCCTGCTGCGTCATAAAAATGTTACAGTTAATGTGTTTTATACTTGGTAAAAACCAATTAAGAAATAAATTTTAATTAAGGAACTGAACATTTTTGTTGTAACTATTTACAATGTTTTACCCATTGTACTATTTGTCCTGTTTATAGCGAGATTTTTTAAAATAAATTTTGTTCGTTAATACAAGGTGTCTCAACCAAAAGCAGCTACCACAGATTTCAGATTTTGCTCTAAATGCTTGGGAATTTTTAAATAGGTAATCAGTTTCTTGGAATTGGCAAGAGAAGTCTTCCAGAGTTGCTATCTAGGTCATCTGATTTTAATCATATGCAGGGTGTCCGGAAAGATCATGTCAAAAATGAAGGGGTATACAGGGGAGCTCAAAATAGTTGTAGTACTTCATAACAATTTTTTTCCTATCGGGCTTCATTGTGGAGTTATTCGCCTTCAAAGAAAGAACTTACCATGACAACAATGAAATTTGGGCAATTAAAGTAACTTATTAATTTCCAAGTTTAAACTGATATTCAATGCCTAAAAGATAATACCATATATCAATCGATATATTGTACCATTTTTGAGAAAATCGAAATTTATTAATAACATAGATGTATTGAATCAAAAATACAATATTAACATTTTTGCAAAAATCTTGGAAATTGAGATGACTGTCAACAAGTGTGTATAATTAGCAGTTAGATATTTGTCATATTTTGTCGCCATTTGTTGATTCAATATCTGGATTTTATGAAGAATTTGCAGATATTCATCTAATGTACGAACCTGCAGAATATAATGCTTCTGAAACTGTTCGGATTTACGCCAACCGCTTTCCAAATAGAATAGAATTTGCATATTTGAAGTGACGAAAACCCCCATGCTATTATTCAGACAATACACTAACAAAAATTTATCATTAATACATGAATGGGAATAATTGGAAAATACTTAGTGGGACCACATATCATTGATGACGCTTTAAATGAGGATAAATACCAATATTTACTGCAAGAACACCTTAACCCATTATTGGAAGACGTCCCTTTAAATATTTGAAATAACATGTGGTTTATGCCCGATGGTTCACCACCCCATTTTAGCAGGACAGTAAGGGCTTATTTAAATACTACATTTTCCGATCAATGGATCGGTCGAGGTAGTCCTTTTCCGTGGCTACCTCGGTGTCCCAATCTTAATTCTCTCGATTTTTGTCTTTAGGGCCATCTTAAAAGTCTTGTTTATCAAATTCCTATAAATAGTAGTGAATAATTATTAAATCGCATAATTAATTACATACGCCGACATCATTAGAAATGATCACGTTATTTTGAGTACAGCAGAGGTGTTTGAGCAATTTCAGAAAATGCATTGAAGTTCAAGGTGCACATATTGAACACATATTGAACATCTTACTTAATAGTTCTTTTTTTTCTTTTAATTCTATAGAAATCAATATTTCTACAAAAATGTTAGTATTATAATTTTGATACAATAAATGTATGTTATTAATAAAATTCGATTTTCTCAAGACGGTACAAGATATGGACTGATGTACGGTATACCTTTTTTTAAACAAAGTGAAAGTGGATCATTTTGTCTGCTGCTATAATCTAATCCAGGCATATTGAATATCCGTTTAAACTTGGAAATAAACATTACCATGAGTTGCTTTAATTGCCCAAAATTTCATTGTTGCCATGGTAACGACTTAGATGTTTCAATTGAATTTGTTTTTCAAACTTCTTTCTTTGAAGGCAAATAACTCCACAACAAAGACCGATAGGAACAAAATTTTTATGAAGTGCTGCAATTATTTTGAGCTCCCCTCTACACCCCTTCATTTTTGACATGACCTTTTCGGATACCCTGTAAACTTCAAGTGTCAGTTAAACAAAATTGTTAAAATACAGCTTTCTAGGTATTCGAAAGACGCTTTTTCTGAAAATTATTAATTATTTTCAAAATCCATCCGTCATTTGGTCGAGACACCCTTACAATATGGGTAAGGGTGTCTCTTCGAAATGTATCTATAATTAATCTGTTTAAATGAGTCTTTACATATATTTATTTTCTAGAAATTAACAAGAGCAACTCTTAACTTTTTATAAAAAGGACATCTTTAACTACCATAGTAACTAGTGTTTCCATAAATATGGGAAACATTTCCATATTCTTGGACAAACGAAACGCGTTTTGGTCGTTTTTTAGGTTCAGTGTTGTCCTTTACGTCAACATTTACCCTACCAAAGAGTTTCAAGTTCACCAGAAATCGAAAAATTCCATAGTAAATGATTTCTGCTATTGTTATTAAGCTGCACCCCATGAAAAGGCTGTAAACTCCTCCAAAAGATGCTACAACAAATCGAAATAAAAATTAATACATAATATTTATTGAGTAAAATATGTTTCTTTCTTTAATAAATTGCTAAATATTTCAAAGTGGCCAAATATTATGGACTCTCATGTATTTTTAAAACATTATGTTCTTCAATTTGAAAATGATCACATATTTAAATTTACTCCTGCAGAAATTTCTATTAGCGCCAACAGAAATGCCCTAAATTATCTAGACAATTATTCATAGAGCGTAAAGCATTAAAGAAAGCATCTCTTACATAGCAAGTATAAGGTGGATGTTATAGTGTCCCTCACTAATATGGTTTGTCGATTATTGAGAAAAAATATATTAAGTACATTATATCCATCGTGAACAGAGATGTTTCCACTGAAAATAAAAATATTATGTTATTTTATATACGTACATACACATATAATACAGGGTGTCCCAAAACGACTCATGCCCACAATAAAAAAAATTGAGATAGTATGTGTCCGGGCGAATCAAGAAACCAATATGGTGATGACCTTGTGTTTCATCAAGGTCAAATTAAATGGGACACCCTATGTTTTATGCCGCCAATGATAGAACACTAAATTTTACGTCGGAATTGATCACAAATTTTTATTTGTTTATCCTTGCAGATAATTTGAAGATCAAACTGGTGGTGGTAATGCAAAATAGAATATTATTAACTGCTAACAGCTGATTAGATATCAGCCTTCAGAATGACCTTTCATTAAATTTTGATTATTAACCTAATATGTTAAATTTCAAAATTATTCTCAAAATCTTACTAATAATTTCAATCCAATAATCCTATTAAATTCAATTCCTTTTATATCTATTTTTTTTAAATAAGTTCTACCTTCAAGTTACACCCTTTATATTCTTCAATGTTTGGATTCTTCAAAAATTCTAGACATATTTCATATACAATGTCCTATACCTATCTTCAACTTTTTCGGAAATATTAGGTGTTTTCAAATTTATTGCAAAAATTTACATTAAAAAAAGAAAATTATTTGATTACAGAAATTTGTTACAACACACTCAAAAACTATTAGGTAATACTGTTCATTTATTGATAATGTAAAAAAGCAAAAAAAAAACATTAATGTCAATGTAGGAGATGTTCAAAATGCTCGCCGTGAACGTCTTGGCAACATCCTAACATTAAATAGAAATTTCTTCCAACTCTACATCTCAGGCTTGACCGATCTAATCGCAAGCGTTATTCGTCTTCTTAAGTCAGCCAAGTCGAGGGGTTTAGTTTTGTATATAATATCCCCATAAGAAGAAGTCTAATGGTGTCAGATCAGGGGATTGTGCTGGGATTGTGCTGGCCATTCCATCGATCCTCACATCCCTATCCACCGATTTGGAAATATTCGGTTGAGGTACTACCGGACAATGATTTGGTAATGGGGCGGTGCTCCATCTTGCTGAAACCATATCATATTTGCTGGAACTTGTCGGTTTGCTGGATTAGGAAATAAGTTTGCCAAAATTGATAAGACATTATTTTGCAGCAGTGCTAAATAATAATTATCGCCATCCAAATTGTCATCAATGAAAAAGGGACCTATGATATGATCTCCAACAATTCCTGCCCAAACATTATTGGGTATTGCGTATGTTCTTCTGTAATCTAGTGAAGATTTTCCCTATACCAATAGCGGCAATTTTGACGATTAGCATGACCGTGAAGTGTAAAGGTGCACTCATCAGAAAACAAATCATGTTCTAATTGGATCACATTGTTATCTAACATTGCCATCATTGGTTCACAAAAATACGTTCTCCTATCAAGATCGTCTTCCATGAGCTCCTGAGTTGGTTTCGTTTTATAGGGATGCATTTTATGTTCTTTTAACATTCGAATAATCGATGAATTGCTAACATCGAACATTGCGGCTGCTTTTCGAAGTACATATGTGGGTTTTCCTCAAACTGAAGCATAATATCCAGTTTGGTATCATCACTTATTGCATTGGCAGCTGCCTTATTTTATCTGCCTTACATGTCCAAGCTCGCGAAACTGTTTTTCTATTTTACTAATAATTGTCCCTTGGGATATAGGCGGCTTTGGAAATCTTTCATGAAATAAGCCAGCAACTTCCATTTGTGTCCATGTTTTATTTCCATAACCAATCATCTGTAGAATTGTTATTTTGTGCATTTCTGTTAAATGAACCATTTTTCTGATATGCAGTTAACGAAATTCAAACGACTATAGCACTGACAACTACTGTCAAGCAGGCAGACGAACGTTGCTAAGGCCAACCGTTTTACACAAAACTAAAGAAAACTATTTTTGTTTTTTTTATTTCATATCAGTAAAAAGGAACGCTGAAATGGTTTTTGCTTACTTTCTCATTATCAAGAGCTAAATGGCAAATTAGTGGTGAGTGTGTTGTAGGGAATTTCTGTAATCAAATACTTTTCTTTTTTAATGTTAATTTTTGCAATAAATCTGAAAACACTTAATATTTCCGAAATAGTTGAAGATAGGTATAGGACATTGTACATGAAATATGACTAGAATTTTCTGAAGAATCCAAAAATTGAATAATATACCGGGTGTTGTATTTAAAATAAGAAAGTTGGTATTGACTACTGTTACATGATCACTCTGTATAAAAAGTTTTTGTTGAGAAAAATGCCCAACTAAAAATACCGATTGAAGTGTCCGGGCGTTTTTTCGAACACGCCCCCATTTATTTATAATTATTGAATTTATTCCATTTGACTGATACACAATGTATATCTTCTTTCGGCGTCAGTTGTCGGTTGTAATGTCATATTACACATTTCTTTCTCATTTATATCCCGTATACATACAAGGTGTTATTAAGTCGACAAACTTTATGGAGATATTCCTCATAAAAAAATAAGAAAAATATCAAGTATAAATTTTTTTCCAGAGACGCTGCATTTTCGAAATATAGGGCGTTAAAGATGTTTTTAAAAATTCGAATTTTTTAAATAACTTCTAAATGAAGAAGGCAATTTAAGCCAAATTTGGCATGACACAGAACAGTTTGTTATTGACAAAAAGTGTAGTCTTATAGTTCATGGGGAAATTGATTTTTCGGAAGGGTGCTTCTGGATTCTGTCGATAAACTTTGGGAAGACGTTCCTCATAAAACCTAAAAAATATAGTACCTATTAAAATTGATATTAGTTTCGAGTACGTGTGAGTCAAATAAGCCTTTTTGTCTCCCCTTCCCTTGGGTTTAACCAATAGTATTAAAATTATTTAGGAGCTGCTTCGTTTTTGAAATATAAGTTTTTTTTTATAAAAAAAATGATGAAAACAATAGAAATATTTAACTACCTAACATCTAATGTGACTATGTCTAAATGCGACAACGTAACGACCCTTGCAATACTCCTAAATTTTTTCAGGCGGTTTGTAGTCACTTACTTGTGTACTTGTACTTTTAAATAAAATAAGATGGCAAACAATACATGAAAATTTATTTGTTTAACAACACTCCAAACGAAATAATCCATTGGTGTCAAGTCCGGTGAACGTGCGGGCCACGCTGCAGGCCCCCCACGACCAATCCATCTCCTGGGATAATTAATGTTTAACCACTCCCTAGGGCCTCTACCAAAATGGGCAGGACAACCATCTAGTTGAAACCAACTGTTCATTCGAGTATTAAGCGGAACATCTTCTAACAGATCTTGAAAACCATTTTCAAAGAACTCGGTAAACATGTCAGCATTTAACCGATGTGGAAGCAATTAGGGACCAACTATAGTGTTGTCCAGCACACCCAACCATACGTTACATTGGAATTCATGCTGAAAACTATGTTCCCTTACCGCCCGTGGATTCTCGTAGGACCAAATATGGTTGTTCCTTTGGTTTAAAATTCCCCTTCGAGTAAATGTTGCCTCATTTGTCCACATTACTTTTTGCGTAAACTGATTATCATTCTCAGCCTGGTTTAACATCCAGTCACAAAACACGCGCCTGCATCGTATGTCCTAAGGCAATAAATGTTGCACACGCTGGATGTGGTACGCATGGCGTACATCAGCCCGAAGATTCGTCCAAATGGAACTTGACGAAATACCTAGCTCATAGCTAGATCTTCTAACACTCGTGGATGAATTTTCATCGAAATGATTTAAAATAGTATTCGATCTTACTTCGTCCTGAAGTGGGGCAAAATGTCCATCAGTATAAGTTGGAATACCGAAAGACCCATTTTGTCTGAGACGACTGAATGTCGTTGAAAATGTTTCCTTTAGTGGTAGTCTGCGATGAGGAAATCTTACTGCAGATTCACGGCGAGCCGCCGGGGCATTTCCATCACAAAAACCATATACAAAGACCATATCAGCATATTCATTGTTCGAAAATAGGCCACCGACCCGCCCTGGTACGTAAGAAACACTGACATATTACGAGACTTACAATACACAAACGCTACACAGACAATAAGACAAAACGCGGAGAAACGGTTTGACGTAGCCGCTAGACATGACAATCCCCTCCTCAGGCAAGCCGTTGACTACGTACCCGACGTGACCGACAAACACAAAAGACCTAGACACCAACTTTTTGACCCTGGGTGACCACCCCAATGACCCCCCCCCTGCCCGCTAACCTTTTCTGTTTCAGAGACAGCCAGGATCAAGAAACGAAGACAACGACACACACACACACACACACACACACCCCCCATACCCTCCTTAACCCTCCCCTCCCGCGCTAGCCTAAGGGCCACCTTAGCAAAGCGCATCCCAGGCTGCATAGCCGCACTACCCTACCCAACCATACCACACATAAACATGACACTACCCCCGGGGTTTACACAGACGAGCCGGCGAAGCAAGAAGAGCGCCAGAAGAAAGGGCCCTAGCCGGCGGGGCCCAGCCAGGACAAAAGGAGGTCCCACAAAGCGCCTACACCGGCCGCATTTGCGGTCGGGGTAGACGACGGATGGGGCCCACCTACGAAGGCTGTCCAGGCCTACACGAGATGAGGCAGGATAAAGAGGGATAATCCCCCTCGATCCCAAATCATTGAGGCCAATTTCTAGCCATGGAATAATGGCGCGTGTTCGAAAATATGGACGGCATTATTAAACTTATTTTTATTATTAGTTTGAAGGTTTATCTAATGGATGCAACAATTCGCAAAATAACATTTAAAACGTAAAATTAACATTACTTGACAGCAGTCTACTGGAAAATTTTTAGTGAGTTTAGTTTAGTCCTTGCGGGACTTCTACTTCTATGGAAAAATGGTATCTTATAAGAAGATGTATCATGCCAAATTTGGCTTAAATAGCCTTCTACAATTAGAAGTTATTTAAAATATTCTAATTTTTTAAAAAATCTTTAACGCCCTATATTTCGAAAATGAAGCGTCTCTGAAAAAAAATTTATACTTGATTTTTTTCTTATTTTTTTTTATGAGGTATATCTCCTTAAAGTTTGTCGACTTAATCCTGAAACACCCTGTATATACATTATTTTTAGGTATTCTTCTAATTAATACAAAAAAGTTTATGATTAGGTACACAGCCCCACAAAAAAAAGTTATGTACCAGTGACATAAATACATAGATTTTATTTTTTTGATGCTGAATCCGAATCCGCAGCCCAAAAACCGATTTACCAGGTAATTTTTTAGTAAAACGCAAAAATATCTTCTAAAATAGGGAGAAATAGTGAGGATAAATTGGAACTTTCTAATTAAATGCGACAATAATTCGTAAATAGTTTGAGAAAACGTTTTAAAATAATACTTTAAGTATTGGAAAGAAATATATGCAAATTAAATACACACCTACCCTAGATTGGTCTTTGGGCTGTGGATTCGGATTCAGGAAAAAAGGTACACAAAATCTATGTAGGTATTCATGTCTGTTTTTTGTGGGACTGTGTTACTAGAAACTTTCTAGTGGTTATTAACTAGTAATATACTAAAGCGCTATTAACTAGTTGACTATTAACAGTGGCGGCGCGTGAACATTGATTGAATGTGTTCTGCTTAGGGTTGTTACATTTGTTGAATTGAATTCCGGGATATTAAGTGCCCGGAGTCTCTAAATGGCGCCGCAGGCGAAAAATTTTAAAATTTTCAAGGTCACGCGTTTTCCTGGCACTTCTGAATTTCAAGGAACAATGAATTTATAAAAAAAATACAGATTTTCACAAGAATGATTTTTGAAATTGATACCTTTTTGAAATATCCATTTACGAATTACCTACTGATGGTATAATAAATTGGAATAAACTAAATATATTTTATTAAATTATTGAATATTGTTTATAAAAAAAAATCGTTTGTGAAATTTACCAACGATTCAACGAATTTTAATTTTCCTCGGCGTGTTATGATTTTTTCTTTATCTTTTTTTATATATATGTACATTATATTATATTCCGGGAGTTATACGTGCAAATCCGAAATCCGGGACCATACAGCTAATTCCCGGTACAATCACAGAAAATCCCGGTCATACCAATGTGGCTAGATGTTCTTTTAAAATGTCGTCAAGATCTACACTAAAATTTATGAGTCCACGAAACACATCAGGGTTGTCCGAATTTTCTGTCTCGTCGTGTCCGAGAAGTGCTAATTCGAAAGCTCCGCAAAATTTTATGCAATCTATGATTTTAAATAATACATGACGATTTTTCATTACCTGTTCATATGTTTCCGTATATTATCCCAATATGCAGAATCTAACTGACTTCTTATGTTTATTTTACCTAAAGACTTAATGACTTAAATCTTTCACACTGTATATTGTCCATGCTTTATCCCCACCGAAAAGTAAGCACGGAAAACAAAACAGTGAATATTTTAAATCACACCCGCACACCCACTCTGCTTTTGTGTATACATTATTGTTTTTTTATAACTTTTACTTCTTTTATTTTTAGTTTATCCTCATAAGGCAGAGAACCAAATAAAGTTTTTTTTTAAACGAAACGCTATTCATTTTAATAACTATAATATCCGTAGACGCCTAAACGAAAATATTCACACGTGCCGCTCGCAGAAATAAACCACCACATACCACGTACGAAATATTACTGCATTTACTGCAGACTGCAGCGCAGTGGCTGTCACTATTGCAGCCGCCAAAGCCCCTATCTTCGTGTACTGGGTCACGTGCCTGATCAGCCAATAAAAACAAAGGACGCATATAATTGTTCGCTGTCCACACATTGTGTATATGAGGTTGCATATATTAAGGAGCGTAGCTCGCGTCGCAATAAATAATAATATAAGCTCCTAGATTTATTTTAGCGCGAGTACATTTGGATTCTTTAAATATTTTGATGATATTTAATATGATTAAATACATAAAATTTTATGTGTTCTGCAGCTCCGCAGCTCTTATGGTAAAACCGCCACTGACTATTAATAAGGCTAATGATGTTTATTAATATTAGTACGTACAATGACATCATAGAAAAACTGCGTCCATATTGCATCCTAGCAGAAGTTGACAGAATTTGATAAGATATGTCTTCACATTGGGCAGTACAAAAACAATCCTCCATTTCATCAAATAACTGACGATCTAAACAAACCAAAGCAATCTATATGTACAGTAAAGAATGAGAAGAGGTTTACAATAACTTAAAACTTTTAAAAGTGTCTAGTTAAAAATGATTAACCCTGTTTTATAAAGAACCGCGCATAGTCCATGTAATTGGTGATGATATTCATAAAATTGTCACAGTTTTTGACCCTTATTCATGAACATCTCATTTTACGAAAAAGGGGTATATTAGAAGGTTTTACCTACGACCACTACTGTAAATACTTAAAAACACACCGTCTGCGATCAATGTAAGATTCCTATTACGTACGGTAAAAAACTCGCACAGCTTGATAAAAAAATAGTTTTCCTAGCAACCGCCTAGCAACGGTCAATACAATACTGTTTGTATTGACGGTTGCTAGGAAAACTGTACGATTTTTTTACCAAGCTGTGCGATTTTTTTACCGTACATAATAGGAGTCTGACATTGATCGCAGACGGTGTGTTTTTAAGTATTTACAGTAGTGGTCGTAGGTAAAGTATAGTACGTAATACGTGGTGTATGCAATTACGCACTTATAGAATTACGCACTCGCCGTTACGCAAATATAGGTAGGTACTTCTTAAATAAATTATTCATATAAACTCGTATTTGGGGCATTTGTACCTAAATCAGAGTAAATGTCCTCATTACTGAGTGATGTCACCCCTTTTTCATATCTAGATGCACTGTCTTTATCTGTTCCCATCCTTCCATTAGGTCATCTCGTAACCGTGGCGTGGTGGATGGCAGTATGGCGTATGGTGTGCTTTGGAGTTGGATAAGTATCAGTTTATCTGGTTATTGTATTTAAATGCAGTGATTTAATTGTAATAATTAAAGACAATATATTAAGTCTCAATTAATATTTAGTTAAATAAACGGATAGTTAAATTATTGTTATATATAATTACGTATTTGTAACGTACAATATAGGTTATGGCAATTTATTTATCCGATCAGTGAATCTGTGTTGCAACCACCATGACTGTTTAATAGTTTATGACAATGATATTTAAATAAAAATTTTAAGAAAATATAAAGTGGTGCAATACCACTTCAAACGTTAATAATATGGAAGCATTTATTAACATTGTACATATTAGCAGACCTAATTTCAAATAACATAGCTTTTGCCCAAAAATTATACAAATTTAATAAATTACAAAAAAGTTATTACTAAATACCGATTTTCATCTCTTAACTTCAAGGATTAATATACAGGGTATTTTTGAATGGAGCAGCATAAATGATACAAGTGAATCTACATTTCAAAAGAACACGATCTGCAAAAAATCGCCTTAGTAAAATGTTCACCCCTGAAGAGATATGGGCCATCAAAGTTTCCAAAAAAATTATGAAAATTGGCTGTAATTTGAAAACCGAACGAGGTACAAATAACAAATTTTTTACAGGTTGTTTACTAATACAGATGCGAGTTTTCAACTATTTTTCGAAAATTTTAACCCCTCGAAAGGGGTTGAAATAACCACCCCTCAAGCCATTTTTTGCCATAACTTTTATATTTCGTAAAAACTCGATATCCAAAAATACGCATTAGATAAACTGGTTCTTTTAGAAACTTTTACCTCTCTAGCAATTTTCCTTTAAAACTTTTCGTTTATTAATAAAAAAATAAAATGTATTACCATTCACCTCACACCGTATATGATTGCAATCAATCAAAGAAAAACTAAGTGTGCTGCTGTCATGCCAGTTGTCACAATTAACTCTTCTGTAAGTTGTCACTGTTATCAGCTAAATACTTTTTGGGTGTAAATTAACAAGAATTATGCCAAATTTTACTAATGATGAATATGTGGACATGCTACAAGTGTATTTTGAATGTCGCAAAAACTGTGCTGCGGCAACAAGAGCGTATAATGAGAGATATCCAAATCGTCAAGTTCCCCACAGACAAACTTTTTCGGCGGTAGAACGAAGACTTCGGGAAACTGGAAAAATACAGCCGCATATTGAGGGTACCGGCCGAAGACCTACTGTTCGTACTATTTATCTTGAGGATGCAGTACTTGAAGAGTTTGACGAAAATCGTCAGACTAGTACGAGAAAAACAGCAATGCACTTAAATGTGTCCCATAGTGTTGTTTGGAATATTGTCCATGATAATTTATTATATCCTTTTCACCACCGGCCAGTTCAAGCTCTACTTGAACCAGACATGCATAAGCGAGTTGTTTTTTGCGAATCGTATCTTAATATTCTAAGAAATAATTTGAATTTTGCCTCAAAGATACTTTTCACAGATGAAGCAACTTTTCAAAGACATGGTTTAACCAATATGCACAATCTTCATTCCTGGGCTCATGAAAATCCTCACGAAGTATCTATGACAACATTTCAACATAATTTTAGTTTAAACATTTGGGCAGGAATTGTAGAAAATGTGCTTGTCGGCCCTTTTGTTTTACCTCATCGACTTGGTGCTGTTGAATATTTGCAGTTCTTAAATGAGCATCTACCACCACTTCTGGAGGAAGTACCATTAAATGTACGTCAGGCCATGTGGTACATGCATGACGGGGCTCCTGCTCACAGCACTGTAGTAGTTAGGCGGTGGCTTAATTTAAATTACCCGAATCGTTGGATAGGTCGCGGCAATGAGGCACCTATCTCTTGGCCTGCACGTTCTCCCGATCTAACGCCCATGGATTTTTTCTTTTGGGGACATATAAAAAGTATTGTTTATGCGACCCCAGTTGACAGTGTTGAAGAGCTACAGGAAAGAATATTCGCGGCGGCTGATGAGATTCGCAACAATCCCATAATTTTTGCTCGAGTCCGTAACAACTTTGATAAACGTGTTAGGTTGTGTTTAGAAAGAAATGGCAATTATTTTGAAAATGTCCTTTAACTAAGTTTTTTGTTTTTTCTCTTTTTGATAATAAATTATTTCTTAGTTTCGTTTTCATTGTACTTCTATTTAATAAAAGTTTCTGCGACATTCAAACAGTTATTTGTGCAACTACTGTAAAGAGTGTGTATTTGTTGTACGATGCATGAAGTTTGCAGCTCGAGACGAAGTTGAGAGCTGCAATCATGTTAAGTGCAACAAATATGCTTTTTGCACATGTTGCACGCAACATTTTTTCTACGATTGTTTTTATTTCAAATTTTATTTAACAGTATTTTACATAATATTATAATTTTAACTGACAACTGGAAATTAATTGCGCAAATTGTCAATGTCAGACGTTAGGTACTTGTGGATATGCTTACATTAAACTTGTAATCAATATTTTTTTTTGTACTACTGTAAAAAAGTTAGACTTTTGGCACAGTAGGTAATGCAATAAGTAGTAAATTTTGCACGATCGTAGAAAAAAACACTTATAGCATGTTCACATATTCATCATTAGTAAAATTTGGCATAATTGTTGTTAATTTACACCCAAAAAGTATTTAGCTGATAACAGTGACAACTTACAGAAGAGTTAATTGTGACAACTGGCATGACAGCAGCACACTTAGTTTTTCTTTGATTGATTGCAATCATATACGGTGTGAGGTGAATGGTAATACATTTTATTTTTTTATTAATAAACGAAAAGTTTTAAAGGAAAATTGCTAGAGAGGTAAAAGTTTCTAAAAGAACCAGTTTATCTAATGCGTATTTTTGGATATCGAGTTTTTACGAAATATAAAAGTTATGGCAAAAAATGGCTTGAGGGGTGGTTATTTCAACCCCTTTCGAGGGGTTAAAATTTTCGAAAAATAGTTGAAAACTCGCATCTGTATTAGTAAACAACCTGTAAAAAATTTGTTATTTGTACCTCGTTCGGTTTTCAAATTACAGCCAATTTTCATAATTTTTTTGGAAACTTTGATGGCCCATATCTCTTCAGGGGTGAACATTTTACTAAGGCGATTTTTTGCAGATCGTGTTCTTTTGAAATGTAGATTCACTGGTATCATTTATGCTACTCCATTCAAAAACACCCTGTAAATTATCAAAAAAAATATTATTTTTACAATATCTCTCCTAATTTGAAAGTTCATCATTTGCAGAACACGCTGTGTCTGAGTAAAAAATGACTCAATAATAGTTAAATTTAAATCATATTAGAGAAAAAGTCAACTCTAAATTGGGTTTATATACTCAGAATAGAGTCAAAAGTCACTCAATTGATAGCAGTTAGCAGTAACTCGGATTTGAGTAAAAATACAATAGTTTCACTCAGTTGTACTCATACTAGTAAAAATTTGACTCAATCGGGTGCGGACAGAAATTGATACATTATTGAGTAAAATTGAGTGAAATTTGAGTGAAATTGTTTTACAATGTATTCTGTACATTAAGTACCTTATCTCTTATTCAGAACATTTCAGTTGTATATACAAGAAAACATGTACAAGAAAAAGTCATTCAATATCAGACATTATTTAATAATTGTGGGAAACCACTACTTTACAGACTATAGGTCCCATTCAGCATAAAATTACACCTACAGTATTTAGTAACCGGTAAGAACACAACTTAGACACTGTTTTGAACTTAACAATTGTCTTCATTATATCGTAGATGAGATAACCGATGAATCGTTTAGCTATTTGTATATCTATCTACTGCTCCTCATTACATACTGACAAAGCATTTCTTTATATCTACTGACAAAGTGCGATCTACTAATTATTAGTTAAAAAGTTTGTTTCGCTTAGTGTGACTAGTTATGCTTTCATAATATCATAATAATAGTAGGTCGCTCTCTGCCAGTAAGTACAAAGTAATACTTTGTGCAAGTTAACATTGTGTACCAATGACATTTTCACCCAACAGGATGCTTATAGAAAATATTTGTTTTATATTCACTTGGTATTTCTGTCAATAAGTTTTTAATCAACCGCCCCCAATTGGCTCATTTAAAAATTTCTGATTTGCAAGTGTTCTTTGTTATACAAGAGTCTGAAATTTGCTGGATAGTATAATAAACATTACGAACTTAAAATTTAAAACTATGTAGCACATCTGGTGTAGGTATAACTAGCAGTATGGGAGCAGACGATGTTGTCGATCAACAAAATCTTTTTTCGATCGTATCACGGGCTTCAACTTATTTACTAGTTACTGTATCGAATACTAATAATAATTTCTCATTTTTCTTAAAAGTGTACCACCAACAAAAGATGATCGGCACAGCTTTCCTAATGAAAATATAAACGTATGTACAGGGTTAATCACTATATTCTGACAACTTATTGTGAGTTTATTATTGAAATTACAAAAAAGTTTTCAATACAAAACTTTTAGCTTTTTTTATGAATTTTTATAATACAATATTAGAAAAAACGATTGAATAGTGGAAATAACTAAAATAAAGAAAAAGTTTTTTCCTATATATTAGAGCATACTTAGCTTCGTTAAATTTTTCTCTTTTCAAAAATATATAATATGTTACTGTTTGATTCAGGAGTTTTCGACATATTTCAGTTTAAAACTATTTTTGAAAAAACATGAGGGAAATTTATATCTGACGGCTCGCAGTGGCTAAGGACGAGGCACGCGGAACAAACAAATGACTTTGACAGAAGTTTATTTATCATCATTAATTTATTTCATATAACAAACTATTCTAACCAAGAAATAATGTTTAGTGAGAACGAAAAATTTGAAGTTATCCGTTTATTTTACAAGAATAAAATAATGTGAATGCAGCGCGCGCCGAGTATGCTCGTGTGCATCCCGGGTTTCCAATTCCATCTCAAGCTGCGTTTTACGATATCGAGCGACACTTTAAACTTTAGAGAAACAAAATCTCTTGGAAACGAAGAATTATTCCAAATGAAGAATTAGAACTAACTATATTACTATATTTTCAAGGTAAGCAAATATTCATTCGAGGTTTACCATGGTAAATTCAAATATTAAATTATTGTAGAAAGGCCACAAGAGTCCACAGTAAATGCTTCAAGACAGTTAGAAGTAAGCCAAAGTAAAATTATTAGAACGTTACGTAAGTATAAATACCGCCCCTATAAAACTATGCCGGTCCAAAACCCAAAATCAAAAAATTCAGCTATTAGAGTAGTGCAGAGAAATGTTGCGTTTGAAAAATAGCGACCTAAACTATTTTGAAAAGATTTTACGGACTGATGAGGCGACTTTTACTACAGCTGGCATTTATAATAGAAAAAATACTCATACCTGGCCAAATGAAATTCCTCACTGTAATAGGGAAATTCCAAGTCAAGGACGCACGCATCGTTTAATATTTGATGCGGTATATTGAGAAGTAAAATCATTGGCCCACTATTTTATGAAGGTGTTTTTTGACTGGGGAAAGGTAGGTACCTTCATTTTCTTGAAAATCAAATAGAAAACAAATTGGAAGGCCTGCCGATAATCGACTATACCAATTTAATTTAAATTATTTAAATAATAGGTTTAATTTGTGGATTGATAATTGAGGAAATATTCAATGGCCTTCAAATAGCCCAGACCTTACACCCTTGGACTATTTTCTGTGGGGTTACTTAAAAAACGAAATTTATAAGGAAACTAGTGCAAACTTACATGAACTAAGACGTAAAGTTGATCAATGTATACAAAATTTAAGTAAATTTAATTCCCATTTCAAACTAAATGCAGTTCTGAAAATTAATGAGGATTATACGAAGTGCATCAATAATAATGGCGGTCACATTGAGCATCTGTGACCATTTGTGTTTTAGTTGGTTTTTATTAATTAGGTATTAAAATTTTGTTAAATTTAAGACTTGTTAAAGTTAAGAATGATTTTTATTATTATCATAAACGGAAAATTTCAAATTTTTCGTTCTCACTAAACATCATTTCTTTGTTAGAGTAGTTTGATATAGGAAATACATGAATGATGATAAATAAACTTCTATCAGTCATTTGTTTGTTCCGCATGCCTTGTCCATAGCCACTGCGATCAGTCAGACATAAATTTACCTCCTGTTTTTTCAAAAATAGTTTTAAACTGAAATATATCGAAAAGTCCTGAATCAAACAGTAACATGTTATATATTTTTGAATAGAGAAAAATTTAACTAAGCTAAGTATGCACTAATATATAGAGTGTTTCATTAAAAAAAAATATTTAATTTAGTGATTTCCATTATTCAATTGCTTTTTCTAATACTGTAATACAACTAGTATAAAAATTCATAAAAACGCTAAAACTTTTGTATTAAAAACTTTTTTGTAATTTCAATAATAAACTCACAATAAGTTATCAGATTATAGTGTCATAAAATGTAAGATGAGTGTTTTACTTACCGGATTTCGCACGCTGTAAGCAAGGAATTTTCGAAATGTTACATGTGGGTTTATCTGAAAATTCATTAATACCTAAGTACATAAATAAATACGATGGTTTACAGGGAAAATATCAAATTAAGGGTGGCCAAATATGGAATATTGTACGAATGATACAAATTGTTATGTCACGGCATGCTGAAGCACGTTTTATGCTAAAATCCGATTCGACAGATAATTACCTGAGAATGAAAAATAAAACGGTACACATTCACACAACTTGTAGTACAAATTTTCTTCGCATTCAAGATGGCAGTTGTCCTCGTTGTAATTGTTTCCAAAATATTTCAAACGATATTCGTCAGGGTACAGACATTGGCGGTGAATAATTGGTAAATTCTTTACACCGTTACTGCACGTAAGTTTAGTTCCTACAATTTGCAGGTAGGTTAATTTGCCAACAGTGGCTATTCGTGAATCAGTCTGAAGCCCTGGATAGTCTGAGGGATGGTGAATAATTACCTAAAAATTAATAACAGTGGCGTACATAGAGACTAAGGTTCCGAACTGAACAAAAATTGATAATCATTTTTAAAATAGTAACCCATAATAAAGACCTGAGTCATGTTTCTTTTGTACTTGTTCAACCATTTTGGAATTATTTAAGTAGAAATTTATCACTAAACATTTTAAGTTTCATGTTCATGAAAGATTTATTTTGATAGACTATGTATATAAATTCTCACTCTATTACTCTGTTCCTTTTGTCTTCCTTTTACGTAAATATATAAAAAAGCACATGCAAAATTTATAAGAGTAGGTACCTAGTTACCAGGATTATTTTTTTTTTATATTTTAAATATCATTTCATTTGATTTCATGAGAAATGATCCCATTTTCAATTTGCTTATTAGGATTTCACGTGTGAATTTAAAATTTAAAATTTGAAGACGTACTTATTAATATTTTTCCAAATACATTTTAATGAATTAAACCTCCATGAATATAAGAATAACATGTTTTTTTATAAAATTTATGTTATGGATCGGAATGCTCTTAAATCACAAATTAGTAAAGTTGAAGCACAAATTAACAAAAAGGAAATAATGTAAATATATTATTTATTTTATTTAAAATAACAAATATAAAAAAAATCTTAATTTTATATAGTAAATAAGAAAAAAAATTTTTTTGTCTATAACTGAAAAAAAAAACATTTAAACTGTTTTTAAACCAAATTTCAACATAAAAAGCAAACTAAAAATACGTGTTTAGAAAAAAACATTATTTTGCAAGCTCAATCAAACTCCATACTATAATGCTTCCGATTCCAGAGCAACAAACTTTAGGTCATTCTGAACATATTTAGAATCTTTATCAGCTACTAAAATAAAAAAACTCCAAATGCAATTTTCTTAAATGCATAATTGAACCATTGACGTAGGTATATACCGAATAACAAAAGTTTATTTTTTCCATATATTTCTAAAGACCAACTTTTCCAAAAACGATTGACCTTTATATAGAACTCAATTTTCAAGAAAATCTGACCCAAAGAAAATTGCATCTCGATATCTTGATATGATTGAGAAAGACAAGGTTTTTTATCTAAGATATTTTTTAAAAGGTTTTTTATTCAGTTTTTGTATTTTTCTATTACATTTATGACGCAAATTTACATAAATGTTTTTTATTAGTCATTATAGTTCGAATTTTATAATCTACATAAAATGATTTAAGTATATTTACAATAATTTTATCTTATACTTAAGTATGCCATTTATTTTTAAATTGATATATGATTGTATCTTGAAACGTCATCTAGTATTTTTTTGTACAAATATCATGTATAATACACAGGTAATAAGCGTTGTAACTCAAAAAACGAAAGTTATGCAAAAATATCGCGTGTTCCGTAAGTGCCAAAATGTTCAAATAAGAGTTTTTTAATATCACGAAAAATTGCAAAAAGAACGCCATTCTAACTAATTTTTGACAATATTCTTAGAAAATGTGAAAAAAACCCTAAAAATATTAAAACTGACCACATTAAGAATAAATAAAATACCTACTTATTATTTTTCTACAAATAGTAGTAATTTTATTTGCTTTGTAGTGATTATTGAGTATTAGATTAGGTAAATTTTTGTTTTAAAGCGAAGTATGTATTTAATTTTAGTTCCTAACTTAGTTTGAATTAGACACCATAATTTTTTTCGTAAAGAAACTTAAATAACCTTATGATTTAGAATTCGGTTTTGCAGAAATATAATAAAATTAAAATAACCTGTATTTATTCCTGATTTCCTGTCAAGTATTGTTTTTTGCAATATGTATACAGTATCCCCCTAAAGTCGTGCACAAATTCATTATTAGGTAAACAAAAGAAATTACTAAAAATGCCCGAAACAGGTCAATTTTTGAATTTAATTTACTGTTTTTTCAAATAATAATTTAATATACAGGGTGACCTATGTTCGAGTAATGACGTCATCACATTTTTTTAAATGGAACACCCGACTTTTTTCCAATTTTGCCCTAACTGAGCTGATTCCAAAAATATACCACAAGTTGCTTCTAATTGTTACAGGGAGGACAACAATACCCAAATTATTTACAAATACTAAATTTATTTACAAATAAATAAACCTACTAAAAATTTAATCAAATCACCACATATCATTTTAAAATGTCATTATTTTCTGCTATAATTTCTTTGATGCTTTTTTAATTTTATCCGCCTGATAGAACGTGCTCGTGTATTTCTTGCAGGCAATCATTTTTAAATAGTTTGTTAAGATTGTACAAGTAAATCCATTTTGAATGATTCTTCCTTAAAATATTGAGTATTTTTTAATTAATTAAAAATCATGATTCTAAGTGAAACCGAACGGATTGAAATTCTTATGATGATCGGATATGGTGATAGAATTCGAACTCATGAGGAAGTTTGTGTTCTGGCAATCCGAAAATTGGGAAAAAAGTGGGGTGTTCCATTTAAAAAAAATTGTGACGACGTCATTACTCGAACATAGATAACCCTGTATATTAAATTATTATTTGAAAAAATAGTAAATTAAATTCAAAAATCGACCTGTTTCGGGAATTTTTAATAATTTCTTTTGTTTACCTAATAATGAATTTGTGCACGACTTTAGGGGGACACTGTATAAAAGGTACCTTAAAGCCAGAAGAATATATACGTGAATAACAAGCTTGTTGTGTCTGAGAATTTAACAAAACCCTGAGGCCTGTATCCAGTCCACTGTATTGACTATAAAGTTGAGAAATTTTCTTCCCATTGTTATAGTTGAAAGAACAACAAATACCAAGTTGTGAAAATGTTTTATAGAAATATTCCAGACACGAGATTTCTTTTGTATTCCATACACATTGAATCAACATGTCTTTGCAGCTTTGACTGATTTCTTCCATTACCACAGTCGTGTCCAAGTAACCATTCTGTTCAAGTACATTTTGCAAAATGTTTATTTCGGTCATATTGGGCTGGAAACCGCTTCTTGTGTAGGACAAGAGTTGTGATAAGGCATTTCTGATTATTGATTCGTCGGTGTCGTTATACTCCCTGCAAAACAGCAAAGTTATCATTTTAGTTAAGTACACAGTGCCCTTATATTTTGTCTACAGGGTGTCCCGTTTAAAACTCCCCAGCTGGATATCTCGAAAACGGAAAAAAATAAATTATTTCTGAAAAATCCACTGTATAGTTTCAATAAATGGCTTTACTTGTGAATACAAATCCCGTTCCTCTCAGTGCAGGTATAGATGTCGCTGCAATCCGAAAACATATTTTGTTGACAGCAGTTTTGAAAAGTGGCGCACATGAAAGATCCCTTTTTTCCAGGAGGAAGATTTTTTAAAGTTAAGTTTTCAGGCATAACTACTGCAGATTTTCGTCGTATTAGATTACTTTCAATAAAACAGTGGTGAATTAATTTTATTTAACTAATAGATATCACAGGAAATTACTTCATTTAATCTTGTTTACGCAAATCATAGTCTTTTCGATCAAGACAAATTAATATTTATTTAACAAAAACTGATGCAAAATTACAAATAATATCCATAGTCAGTCCATATAATGTTATTTAAAAACTGGTCGTTTTCTTGAACCTTCTTTTGTTTTCTTGAAGTGTCAAAGTTGATTACATATTACTATTACCATAACTACAAGTCTACACCTTCAACTTTAACAGATTTGACATTTATTCAGTATAGTCCAGTACACGAATGAAGAAAAGCTCGACATAATTTTAATATTCGGTGAATGCCGTAGAAATTCCAGAGAAGCAGAAAGACTTTATCAGGTACGTTACCCAAACCGTCGACATCCCGATCATAAAACCTTTTTGTCTTTATCGATATCGATGTTATAAATGATAGAAACACTGCCGTGGTATTAGGTAAGGTTGAAACTAATCCACATACCTCGGTGCGAGCTATACAACAAGAAACGGGGATTTCCGGAACATCGGTCCATAATATCTTGAAGCGAAATACGCATCATCCTTACAAAGTGCATCTTTTACATAATTTACGTCCTGGTGATGTGCTACGAAGACTAAATTTTATTGCAGAAATGGAAATAAAGGCTCAAGAAAACGACCAGTTTTTAAATAACATTATATGGACTGACAAGAGTCGATTTACAAAAAATGGTATTTTGAACAGACATAATAGCCATTTCTGGCATGACAGTAACCCTAGATGGACCGAAGACAAACATTTCCAAACCGCGTTTTCTATAAATGTATGCTGTGGTATTATTAATGGCATATTAATTGAACCCTATTTATATGAGGAAAATTTGAACGGTCGCAATTATTTACAATTCCTTCAGACCCAACTAAATGTTTTTTTTTTGGAAGAAGTTCCTTTAGTTATGAGACAAAATATCTGGTTCTAACAAGACGGGATACCAGCTCGTAACGAAAGGAGGGTGCAAAATTTTCTTCATGAATATTTTCAGGGGCGGTGGATATGCACCAATGGTCCAATAAGGTGACCTGCCCGCACCCCTGATTTAACCCCACTCGATTTTTTCTTGTGGGGTTACCTAAATAACCTAATTTACCAAACAGAAATTGAAGACTTGGCTGACTTGGCTTAATCGAAATGTTTTATTACGGGCAACTGATACCGAAAAAAAACCTTAGAAAAAGATATGAATTATGTATTCATGAGAATGGCAGCAATTTTGAACACTTATTGTGACTCGTATATTATGTTAAATTAGTATCGTTTATTTGTAATTTTTGTTAATTTTGCATCAGTTTTTGTTAATAAATATTACTTTATCTTGATCGAAAAGACTATGATTTGCGTAAACAAGATTAAATGAAGTAATTTCCTGTGATATCTATTAGTAAAATAAAATTAATTCATCACTGTTTTATTCAAAGCAATCTAATACGACGAAAATCTGCAGTATTTATGCCTGAAAACCTAACTTTAAAAAATTTTCCTCCTTGAAAAAAAATTACGTCAAATCCAAGTATCTCGGAAATTAGTGGCTTTTCGAAAATTGTTTATATCACAAAAGTTGCTTATAATTTAGAGATCTTTCATGTGCGGCACTTTTCAAAAGTGCTGTCAACAAAATATGTTTTCGGATTGCAGCGACATCTATACCTGCATTGAGAGGAATGTGATTTGTACTCACAAGTGAAGACATTTATTGAAACTATACAGTGGATTTTTCAGAAATAATTTATCTTTTTCCGTTTTCGAGATATCCAGCTGGGGAGTTTTAAACGGTTCACCCTGTATACATAATTATTAACTGTAATATGTATCGGCAGCAACAACATCTCAGGAAATTGCAAATTTAAAGGGTATTTATCTTAATTTTATAAGTGTGGATCAATTATCTTAAAAATTAACAATCTTTCTGCTATTTCAGTGATTATAACTTTTGAAAACTCAGAGCAAACTAAAACATGTCGAAATCAAATACTACTATATCAAAAATTTGTATAAAGGTGCGAATATAAATTATATTAGCTCTCAACAGAACTGAGCTTACATATTTACTAGAGCTTTAGAAAAAGATACATTTCAGAATGTATTGCGTTTATTTAATTATTACATTCAAATTGAGGGGCAGTATTAAATAGTTATACAAGGTGTCCCAAAATTCACACATGAAGTAATTTTGATAGAAAACACATGTTTTTAATTAAACATAGTAAATTTTGTATTGATTCATATGGAATAGCATATCGGGTAAACGGCATCAGCATCCACTTGTTGTTGTTCCATAATCCATTCAAAGAATTCTCTTCGCTTTGCGAGGTCAGAGGGCATTAGTTCTTGAACCAACTGAACTTTGTAAGCTCATGAGAATAAGCAGTAGAGAACTCGAAATATTTAATTCTTGACCAGGGTGCCAAATTGATGTTCCTGGACACTCAGCAACATTCTCACGAACTGCTTCGATGTTTGACTTGTTGGAGGACGGCCAAAGTGTTTAAGATAACTAATTGATCCATTCTCCCTGAATTTTTCAATTAATCTCATTACAATTGATAAAGTTAAGTCAATATTCCAACACCTGATAGCTTAGTCTATGTACCTATTTTTGCGAAAATAGTTTTATATTTAATTCATAAGATAGCTATGTAAAAAAATAACAGTGGAATCGTTTGTTCAAATCTATTTTTATTAATAATACAGTATATATACTGAATCGATAAGTATATATTTTAAAAACTGTAACATTTTACTTAGTCGGTGGTTTTCTAAAGACGATGTAGGCTGTTGTAAGACGCAACGCACTGTGACATATCAGATATTTAGTATGAAGTGTAAATTACCAATTTTGCAATTTTGACATTTCTAGACAATAGATTTTAGTAAAGAAAAATAATCAAACTATTTTCAAGTGGAATATAGAATATATAAGGTTCTATCGAATTTAAGTCTCATGAATTGTTGAAATTAAGTACATCATTAGAATGTTGGTGTTGAATTTTGATTCACTTGAAGCTTTTATTAAAAAAATAAATAAATAATATACGTTTAATCCATAGATTAGTATTACTTATTTTTTATCTAAAAAATAATTTTTTTTTTTTGAAGTCCAAATGTTACTTCAGGACTTTTTATAAAATGTGACATTTTTCTTCTCAAATTGTCGAATTTAAAGCCACTACATTAAGTATTTGTTATGGAGGTTCTAAATGATAAAACCACTTAAACATAAAATATACTGGATATGAATGTACGTCTAGATTGCAATCTCTGAAAAAAGAATTCAAAAAATTTAAAATTTCATTCTTAAAAACAATACTTGAACAAATCATCTCTTATCTCAGAAAAATAAACAATGACACAGGCTCCAATAGCATGATATAACAACGTGTTGGGTAAGTATTAAAAGTTCTTTAATAGTTTATAATATAATCAGGTATTTTTCGCTATATATTTCAGATTAATATACACTTGAAATTTCATTGCCTTTGAAAAATTATCTTTGATATTGTAACTGAATTATATTTGCACTGAATATCCTTTCTATTCGTTGTACATACATACAGGATGCAATATAGGTGTATACTGTATACCCTGATGTCTGTTGTTTTATGGGATGCTACACACATTTTAATATTGGATATTCGTCAAATGAAATGCATGCCACGGACATTATTTTTACTTTATTTTTTTATATTTGAACAAAAAGTATTTGATTGTTTATTTTTTGAACATATTTAAGAACAAAAAACTAACCTTATAATCAAACAAAAATAATATATCTACAAATAAGTTCTAATTATATGCCCTTTTATCGAGAAGGAGAAAGTGTAGTTCAGCAATACTTTTATTCATTTATTTCTTTGAATTTGATATGAAACTGTCTAATATTATTTATTGTTTCAAAACATATACTTACAGCTTCTTCATAAATTCTTGCACCTTTGGCGTCATAATGGAATTCAAATTGCAGATAGTGACGCCTGGAAATTGTATTTCCGTTGTAGGTGCATATGCTGTAAAGACCGTTGTCCTAGTGAGGTTACTCGTATACCTTTCCCAAAATAACATAGTCATGTAGACTGCACCATACAATCCAAAAATTGTTATAAGACTCCAAAATACCCTTAAAATATAAAAATCACTGCTTATTTTATAGAAATGAAGAGTGCATTCCTATTCAAAGAACTGTGACCAGTAACTTATGGAATTTGGGCCTCAAGAGAGCAACAATGAAACTTCGTCCAAATTGTCGAACATCGAGAGAGCATCAAAAAGTCCCATAACATGCATCAGTTATCGCCTAAGCTGATAGGTATTTTAAACATTCGAGTATCCTGAGTAATCTAATGACGGTTCTATGGATTTTTGAGGTCGCTGATTACGAATCTGGCCCATGCTTTTCAAAATTCAACATCTCGGATCCAACATGGAAAACCCGGAAAACTCCATAGTTTTGTCTGAAATTCCATACACCCGCCAGACTTCAAGTAGTCTGTTGAAACTAATTTCTTTATACATCTTAAAGTGTCTGCTGTTCATTCATATGTTCATAACTGCTTTCTTGGGGCCCAAACTGGGCATGGTTCTTTAAATATTTAATTACTAGGGTAGTTCTAAATTGTCTGAAGGTAAATAGGATTTACATAAAAAAGGGGTTACTTTTATATAAAAACGTTTTTTTGAAGGGGGGTGTACATGGTGTTTTTTGTGATATCTTAATAAACCTCCAACTTTTCATAAATATACTATTAGAGAAATAAAAAGTGCTCTTGTTTATTTCTTTAACTCGAACCTCTATAGACAAATGCAGGTTTACGTGTGATAGGACATTTGAATGTGCAGATTTCAATATACAGGGTGTATTTAAATGGAGGGGCACAAATGAAACCAGAGATTCCTTGGGTCAAAATAAGTCGATTTAACCTAACATACCTATATCTCAAATCGCATAATAAGAAAGGTACAGGGTGTCAAAGTGAAAAATAAAAAATGGTTTTTCCTTAATAATTCCTATAATTTTAGTTAAAAATGTTTCAAATTTTCAACAGAGAGGCTTTTTAATGATGGGAAAAATAATATAATAATGATTTTTGAGTGTCGAGTACGAGGCGCCCTCTGCAGGCAATATTATGCGTTGAATATGTAGTAACTTTTTTGCCAACCCCCGTATACAGTTTTTAGTAACAAAATATAAAATATTGGACTTTTTCAACAAAAAAGGTATACTTATTGAAAATGGCTGAAGCCAACCGTTGAGGAGATATTTTCACTTTCATAAATTAGTGTTACAGATTTATACCTCCACGAATACCAAGGTACAAACACAAACAGACACTTTTGTTAATAAATTCAGAACGCATTACCTTGCAGTACATATTAGTTGTGTATCTGTATTTGTAATCAAAAGGGGGCTCAGGAATCAACTGAGACAACATTATTTTTCCTGTTTTAAATTTACTTTACTTTTCTTTGAGTATTATTTTAGCATGTGTGAGGACACTTGTTGCATAATTTCTATTTAATTGTTTTTTCGACGTCTTTATTAAAAAACACATTTTCTCGTGCATGTGGAATTATTTAAACCTTGCATTAAAGAAATCTAATATGAAATAACAGTTCAGGTGAAAAAATATTGCAAAATACTTATTTATTGTTAGTTTAATAATAATTATTAGAAAAAAGAGCAAAACAACTAAAACCAAGTAGAGTCACTTAACAACAGTCAATAGATAATTTAAGAGAAACAATTGGCTGACAATAAAAGAAAAACAAGATTTTTTAAAGGATATTTGAAGTAATTTCCATTCTCCTGCAACATATCGACATACTCGTCATTAGTATACATAATTTGTTATTTTATTCAATTCCAGAACTATTTAATATCTAGGACGCAGGTAAATAGTGACTAAAATCAATTAACACTTTAAACTAACACTTCAAAATTGTAATTTACGAGTATTATCGAATGACATTTACCTACTCGGTTTTTCTATTTATTTAAGTAACTCGAACCTTGGAATTTGTGGAGGTATAAACCCGTAACACTAATTTATGAAATTAAAAATATCTCCTCAACGGTTGGCTTTAGCCATTTTCAATAAGTATACCTTTTTTGTTCAAAAAATTCCAATATTGCATATTTTGTTATTGAAAGCTGTATACGGGGGTTGGCAAAAAAGTTATTACATATTCAATACATAATGTTGCCTGCAGAGGGCGCCTCGTTCTCGACACTCAAAATTTATTATTATATTATTTTTCCCATCATTAAAAAGCCTCTCTGTTGAAAATTTTAAATATTTTTGACTAAAATTATAGGAATTATTAAGGAAAAACCATTTTTTATTTTTCACTTTGACACCCTGTACCTTTTTTATTATGCGACTTGGGATATAGGTAAGTTAGGTTAAATCGACTTATTTTCACCCAAGGAATCTCTGGTATTATTTGTGCCCCTCCATTTAAATACACCCTGTATACATACATTTCGAACAAGTACTTTAGTTATATACTCACTGCTAGGTAATGATTATATGCACAAGTTTATTTTTTATTTTAGCATAACATGAAGAAAGGTACCACTACTAAAAAAACAAAGCGTTCCAATTTCCTCATTCCAAAGTTTACAAAGATTCTATTTATTAACATCATGTCAACATAATTGTCCTTAATGTCTTCCTCCTGTCCAATTGTTTTTATTTTATAATACAGGGCGTATTTTTTAAGCTTTTATAAACTAAACCTTTTCTTCAAAATTGTATATATACAAATAAATTTTTTAAGGATAATTAAAGTTTTCATTTATTCACTCAATTCTAAACAAAAACTACATCCTAATAGTTTGCTAGACTTGTGGTAAAAATAAAAAATACGAATTGCTCATCCGGACTAAGAAATTTGTACTTGAAAAGCTAACACTTGAAATCCACTGTGATATATATATATATATTTTCTTTTAATAGTGAAAGTTTAAATGCAATAAGAAAATGTTCAAATTTTGCTCCACTTTCCAATGTCGAAGCTGTCTCTACCCAACTACGCAATAGTAATCCCGGCAAAAGAAAAAATCGCGGAGCGGAAATTAAAATTTTAGTCTAGATCTCGAAAACTTCTTACAAAATCTTTGCCGAAGCTGCCAACCGCCCTCAATGACTAGAGCCGCAGCAGACGACACGGGCAGAAGCCGAGGCAAATACACAAAAGTAGCCGAAAGTGTAATCCTAAAATGAACGTACCATCACTGAGCCACCATGGGGAGTAATTACACGTTGACTCTGATCCCTTGCTATTCATTAACCTGGTCAGTAGGTACATGTTCTCCAAATTCTTAGGTACATACTCTATAGAGACCTACATAAGCTCCAAGAAGCTTCCAAAGCAAAGTACTCTCAGGAGACTACAAACCACGGCTTAGTGCAATAGTGCTTAGGCAATGCCATGCCTGCAAAGACGGTGACAAAGACACTATAGAAGAGTCCAGAAAATATTTTTAAATAATATTTAAAGTAAGGCTGGAAAATAAAACCAGTTCTCACTCAAATACATGTTACTGAAGCATGTATTTATAACTTGATAATTCCTATAAAACGTGTCCTCATATGTCTCAAACCAATGTTATCAATAAAGTTGCTCCTTATGTCGTCGAACTTTCGATGAAAAGCAACAAATAATTTGTTATTTTTTCCACAAGGCATTTGTTAGCAGTTGGTGGGCGGTAAAAAGATCAAAGGATGTTTTTCGACATGTAGAAAATGCTTCTGCACAATATGATATTGCGTGTTAAAATTTTTTACTTCTTGAATTATCACATATATCACAAGATGATTCTAAATTGCCTCTCGATATTTTCAAGACAGTTTATTAATTTTTAATTTTTTCCCCGTTAATTTTTCTTTCAGTAATTCATTATCTATTATTATTATACCTCTCAATATATTAAGTTTACTTAAATAATAGTCGCTATTTCCTCCCATATATGTCGAGAGCTCTAGATAATTCCACTCGTAATTCCACAAAAAAAACTCTCAAAACACGCGTGTGACACACAAAATCTGAATTTAACAAATCATTTGGCTCTTTTGCTAAATTTGTACCACTATAAGGGTAATGGCATGTAGACTTGGTAAGTTGAGTTTGAGTTTGTTCGATATTGTTTTTTAATTTTAATAAAATCCCAACAAGTAGAACCCATAAAAAAATAAGTATACCTTTCTGTATTAACTTTTATCTGAAAATGAATAATACCCATTTAAACATGACATACAGGGTGTTTCACTTCGGGTGAATCAAACTTTAACCACAAATAGAATAAATAATTCAGAATTGCTTTATAAAGCAAGGGTCTAAGTCTCACCGTTTTCACTGTACAGAGGGTCGTATTGGTCGGTTGTTAAAATCATATTATTTACGAAATCTTTGGTATGTTTATAACAAATCGATTCAAATTTGGTGTGGTATTAACATTTACACATGTGCATAGTTTCTGTAAAATTTACAAATTTTTGTAGGTCAGCGGCGTAGGAACGGGTATAGTAAACGGTATTTCTTTTACCCCAACTTCTACGCCAATGATAAATCATTTGGGATTCATTTTTAGATTCCGTGGACAATTCTACATGAATAAGGTATACTTGAAAATCGGTATAGTGTATCGTTTTACCGAAAATCTCAGTTGAATAGGAGATTGAGAGACAGTTCTTATTCAAATCCCACTTGTTGCCCATTAATTTCATTTAAACTTTTTTATTTTTATCCATTTTTTGAATTTTTAAATAATCTTCTCTAGACTATTAGAAACAACAAAGGTGCTCTTGCTTAATTTTAACAAACGAATATTTTTCCATATCTCCAGATATTTGGAAATAATTTCCATAAAATAAGTACTTTAGTTGTGTTACCATTTAAAAGAAAAACAATATTTTAACAAAATGATCTCAGTTGTCAAATGCTTACTTTGTAGAAAGTGTTCTTCTGGGTTTACTTCTTTCTCAAAAAACAAGTTTTTGGAAGTTTTTTTTCCTTAGTAATCTAGAGATACATATTTTTCAAGAATTATTTAAAATGTAGTAAAAATAAAAAAGTTGAGGATGAAATCGTGTTATACTCCTAATACTAACTCATACGAAACGTAAGATTTATTGAGCAAATCTGTTCGTTCTTAATTCGACACTACTTGATGTAGAATATATGTGGAAGATTATAATAAATTTAAAAACAGACACCCTGCACACTATTTTTTTTTAATCCTGCATTTGAGAACTACTGAGAGTATAACGCTGTTTTCAGATTTTAATAACACAGTCAAAGCAAAATAGCTCAAACCAGAGCCACATACGAGTATCATTTCCTAAGGAATTCGATGCGCTGAATACAATCCTGTAATCCAAGTTCATTACTTCACTACAAATTTCGGAGAAAAGTGAGATTTTTGGGTAAAACTGGTCCAAATATGGGTCAAACCTCATTTTTTTCTAAATTCTGTCCAAATATACAGGCTGTTACAAATTCGCTTCTCACTACAGGGATCTCGGAAACGGTAAAATCTACAAAGTAGCTTAAATGGGGGCAAAGTTGCGTAATTAGAGGACCAACATTAGGCCTCTAAAAAATCAAGGCTAACATGATTAGTTTTCGAAATATTTGGAAAAAAAAAAACAAATTTTTTAAATTCATTTTTGTTTCATTTCAGCCTTGTTTGAGGTGATATTGAAAAAAGAACAACACTGTCTCATTGCTACTTTTTTGCTCTCTATTGAATGGCATAATCAATTTTTGTATGTAACATTTCGTCTCTCCAGGACCACACGGTGGGCAGGAAGCAACTTTAAATCGCATAAAAATGACGACAAAAACTGAAGGCGGCGATGTATTTGTTCTTGAAAAATCAGTTTGAATTAAAATCCTAGCTGCTCCTGTTTGTAGGATATTCAAATTTTTCGTTTTTTATAGCAAGAATTTGTGATATATACAATATTTAAGAATCACGATGGTTAAAAACATTTTATATGCCAAATTTTGAATAAATAATGAATTAAACTATGAAAAAAAATATGTATTGTATCTATTTAGTATAAAATATCCAAAGAATATAAGGCTAGGCATGTCATTGTGTGTGAAGGGTCACTCATTCACATGCGTCTCTGGACGCCTCGGACATATTATACATACCCTTGCAAGTAAGTTTTTAGATGATTTTACACGTATCCAAGGTGCACCACATGGAGGTTACTTACATTCCACCTCTTTTCTTTTTTTTTATTTTTTTCGTTTATTTTTATTTATTTTTTTTAATTTTTTATTATTTTTTAATAATTAAAGTTTTAGAATAATACAGAAGAAAAAATAAATGTTTGTAATTAAGGTCAATATTTTAAAATTATATGGTATAGTAAGCTTAAATGTAATTTTAGATGTGCTGAGATGAAAAAGAAGCTACTGCTTTTTTAAATCGTTTTGGGAAAGTTTGATCTTCGATAAAATTTATTTTAAATATTTCCCAAAATTTTAACAAACTCTCTGTGAATCGCTTCCCCAGCTTGTTCAGACCATACTCCTAAGCCATCCTTGTTCAAGAGCACAATTGCTTGTTTCAAATGATCTAGAATAACATAGATTTTAACGGTTTGTAAAACATCTGTGCTTTTCAAAGCAAGTTCATGAATATTTTTATCAAATGGAGAAGAGACATGGATTATTTCCCAAAGAAACTGCTATAATAATCGATATTTAGATAAATATATTTGATGACACCTGCAATTAGAAAAAGAAAATCTACGATGCTAAAAAAAAGCTTATATACTCGTATGTTTGAAATTTCAATTTTCCGATTGTGGATAGCAAAGCGCCATCTAATTACAATCAATATAACTATATTTTCTTGGCGATAAATTATACAATACGTATGGTAGAATAACTAATTTTCGTAATTAAAAAAAAGTAATAAACTTGCACGCACGCACGTGTGTGTATACATGTCAAAAATTGATCTTTCATATTTAAGTTATTATTTATTCAAAATTCATTACTTATACAAAATTTAAGACATTATCTATTCAAAATTCCATAAGAATGTTTTTAACCATCGTAATTCTTACCTCTTGTGATATTTCATAAAATTTTCCTATAAAAAAAAAACAAAAATTAGAATATCTTACAAACAGGAGCAGCTAGGATTTCAATTCAAACTGCTTTTGACTCTATTTTCAAGTACAAATATATCGCATCTTTCAGTTTTTGTCATAATTTTTATGCGATTTAAAGTTGCTTCCTGCCCACCGTGACCATTATCAACTTCATTTTTTTAAATACGACCCTAGAAATTTTATTACATTTTTCGCAAGCCTTCATGAACCCCAATACTGTACTGCCTCAGCCCGAACCAGATTCAGACGTTTTGTCATAAAAAATTCATCCTCAGTGTATTCGTTCCAAATTTATTGAAATTTTTTATTTAGATTTCTTTGTTTATTGTATTATCGTATACTGTAAGTGTCGTTAGACCCTGTGAAATCCATCTACTTAGTTATTTAAACTATTACCACCACGCATTAAAATAATATCTTTATTTGAGTTTTATTCTCGTGTGCATAGTTATTTCTAGGCTTCTCGAGTGCTCTAAATTTAAACAAATTCCGATCTATTTTTTTCAGGATATTCATACAAATACATCTGACATGCTCTTTCACAGTTGCTTGTACAGATATAATAAATTCCGATAATATTACGCTGATCTTCATTTTAACCTTTGCCAAAACGAAAATGTTTTTGAACATTTACTGAAATTTTTTAAAGAAGAATATTCAGTTGGCGTTTTGGTTGTTCATATGCATTTTTAAGAATGAATTTGTCATAATAAAATTAAAATTGTAATAATGTTTTAAATTTGACGCAACAACTTATTGAGTTATGTATGACCAAGAGATGGTAATAGCTAATAATAATAAATGTTTTATTGTAACGCGTGGTGGTAATATTTGGATGATGATGGTCCTGGAGAGACGAACGTTACATATAAAAATTGATTATGCCATTCGATAGAGGACAAAAAGTGGTCATGAGAAAGTGTTCTTCTTTTTTAAATATCATCTCAAATAAGGCTAAAATTAAACAAAAACGGATTTCCAAAATTTCGGTTTTTTTCAAATATTTCTAAAACTAATAATGTTAGCCTTCGTAGCTCTTACCGTTTCCGAGATCCCTGTAGTGAGAAGCGAATTTGTTTGTAACAGCCTGTATTATTTTCGTAGGTCCTAAACACAATGCCATTAGTAAAATTTACCCATGACCTCTATATTTATCAGAAAAAGCACTACTTTGGTGAACACTGGCCCAAATATGGGTCAAAACTGATTTTTTCCCCAATTTTTGTTCAAATATACCATTTCATAGTATTTTGAGGCGCTGAACACGAATATTGGTATGGCCGGGTTACTCAGAAATACGTATACCTATAGTCTTGAATTTTTGATGTATGAGATCCATATTGTAAAAAAAATTTAATAACACTATAGATATACCAAATATTAGTCACTTAATTTCATCAAAACTCGACTTTCCACTTATTTTTCGGAATTGTGCGCAAACTATCCTAGCTTTACCTTACCTATTTTCAAACGTTCATAATAGATATCCTCCTTAAAAGAACAAAAATGTATAGGCAAAGATTCCAAAATTTTAACTTTCAAATACAAAGCATTTCTATCGCTTTCATTTTGAGCGATTGAAATCATTATTTTTATTTAGAATAAGTATAAAGAAATATGCTTGTAAATCAGCCACAATTTATCAACATCAGTATCAGGATAATCGATTCCTTGGTTGTTCGTTCATATTTGTAATACTAACAAATATTGCTGATATGAAAGAACATCCAAATCAACCTAGTATTTACCCATCTTATTATTAAAAATTAACTAAGCAATATTTCTAGAAATGTATAGGTACGTACTTTTCATAAGGTCCAACTTTAGTGCTGACTGTGTACTTCAACCCATGTATACTAGTATTATTTGCGAAATCTTGATAAGTTTCGGAAAGTACAGTAAAACAACCCTTTGACTTCTGAATCTCACTATTCTTGAGCCGCATAGTGACAAGTAACTACACCGCGATATTTACCTATAGCAGTAATAATTATATCCTGTCGTGACGGCCTACATAGGAAAATGTCATTTATTATTCATGTTGCTTTACAAAGATTGATATCAATTAATTGACATTATTTAAAACTTTTTATTTTATAAAAGCAAATAAAGCCAGGTTTTTATCTGAACTATGATTTAACAAGACAAAAATAAAACTCCACAAGTAACCGTGGGTGCAAACCTTAAGGGGGCGCACTCGCAGTTATTGTATTGTTTTTCTTTCTACAAAATACGTTTTGAGGGGCGCAAAATTCAAATCTTGCACTCATGATAAATCCATTACAATTGGTAACTGCAAAGCGAAAAAATAAGTAGGTATACAGTGTGACCTAAATAAGATGAAAACAGCCTTAAAATTTTTTGTTTTATTTATTACTTATCAAAATATCGAGTAGGTACCAAGTAATTATGCAGACTTGTAGGAGCTTAAGATTTTTAGTATGTACCTTCTAAACCAAGGTATGTACATACCTATACAGTGCCTGATTTACCTATAGGCTGATGTAGGCTGCAGGCCCCCACCAACTAGGTGCCCCCACCATGTTAACAAAATTTTTTTTATGAAAACTAACTTTTTTAAAGATTTTTTTTAAGACCTTTCCATCATGAACAAGACACTACAGATATTATCGAAGAATTTGCTACAATAAAAGCTAGAAAGAAAAGTATTATACTATGATATCTTAATTATTGTAGCATGAAGATTGCCCGTTATTCTTTATTATAAGTTTTTTTTTATTTATAATGTGGGTAGCAAAATTAAAGCATTTTTGAAACTTCCGTTCCTCTAGAAAACTGGTTTTAAAATAACGTGTTTATATTAATAGTTTTTTTATTTTACCAGTAATAATTTTTTTAAGCCAATTACTACTCCTACAATTTACTATTTAAAACGACTTTTTTTTGTTTTAAAAATCTAATTACATCGTATTACCCCAAGGGTAAGTGGCTTTTAATTCTTCATTTCTAGTTATACATCTTGTGTCCCTAGGGAAAGTGGGTTAAAATTTACTTTTATTTAATCCAAATTTTTTTTGTTGGGGGACTACCAAAAAGGATATTTTTTTTCTAGAATAGGCCCCCCCCCCAATTTTCAGCTTACAGGCCCCCACCATTGTAAATCAGGCACTGTACCTATATTATTCAATAACCTATACGGTTTTTTAATACATTTAGGTACCTAGTATGGAGTTATATTTCTTTAATGGACTTACCTAGATAATAGATGTAGGTACCTACCTAATTTGAGTTGAAAGAGCTTATGGTCTTTAAAAATCGTTTAACACCAAAAAAACGTTACACTTGTTTACTATCCCTAAAAAATTTGTCACAGCTTAGATCAATTTAAAGAATTATTAAATCTTAGAATGATTCAACATAAACAATTAACCATTGGAGGGACTTAAAGTTACTTACCAAGGAAATATCGAATTGTCTCCTTTCTTTATTAATTAATTTTTATTCACTTTAATGGGACTGGGATATAAAAAAAATGGTATCTTTTCATTTTGTTTTACATCTAATAGATCATTTAATATGTAAACCATATATATTTTTAGTTTACAAACAAAATTGAGATAGGTAGAATTATAAAATGACGTCGCGACGTCTACACAGAATCACAAGTGGATTTATAGTTCAACCAATAAGGGATATTTTGATGGGTCAACGTCGGCGAAAACTAAACACTCCCAATAACTTCAAGAAAAATTATTTGATGATTAGAAAAAGCAGAAACAAGTCGATGTTATATTGGAAAGAGACATTTTCTGACATTGGGTGTCTAGATACATTTTACGTACCTAATCAACTTTAAATTCATTACAAGCCTCCCTAAAAATTTCAAAAAATATTGTACGAGTCAGGAGTTGAAGAAGACGACGAATTTAATTCCCTAAACAAACGTTTTATATTTGTAATTCTATTTAATTGATTTGAACGATAAGAGGTGTAAGTTTTAAATTCTCTTTCAATTGTTATAAATTAATAGTCTCCAATTAAATTTATTTACTAATAAATTTAACAAATGTTTCAATTTCCATACAACAATGGAAAAAATCAGTTTGACATCCAGGGAAGGACATGGCTTCGCAATTTTTTGAGGGGGTAGCGGAAAATTAGAAAATACAGAATGAAGCAGACTTAACCAAAAGTACTTGAGTCCAAAGGGGTGAATTAGTATAAGTCAAGTACAATATGTCTTACTTAATTCTAATGTAAGTCTGCAACATAGTCACTTTGCTTTAATTTACCCCTTTGTGCTCAAGTGCCCTGAATCAAATCCATTGAAAGCTTTGATCAAGACAATTGCACAATGAATCATGCAGTAAACCTTATGCAGATTTCAGCAGTAGGTACAGAGCAGTCTTGTATAAGTGTCTTGTGCAAGATTTTGCTACCAGGGTGGCTGAATTTTTGTTAAATTAATCTACTTTTTTTGTTTAAAAAATTAGTGAGAAGAGGGATACTCTCTGCCTTCTGTCAAGACCGATTTGCATAAAGTTTAATTTATTGCAACTGGCCGGCGATATACGCAAATGTGAGCGAGAAAATTGAAGTAAGTATAATCGAAAGAAAGAGCAAAAGCTGTTAAAACTCTTGTTACTTATATATACATTAGAAGCAACTACATACATACATTTATTTCTTCTTTGCTTTGCACATTTAAAACTTTTTTTAAACTTTTGACGTGTCCTTAATTTTTGCGAGAAGATACGTTTACACTATAAGTTCCAAAATAACGAAATAAGCTGCCTTGACAATTTACCAGTGCGCATCCAACCTTCACTGGCCACATAACTTAAGTTGGAACTGTAGATGATAGAAGTTCAAAGTGATTCGTTCTGCTGTACATGTCAAATCACTATACCCTGTCATTGTATAACAGAGGTTTAATTTCTTTCAGAAAACGAGGAAATACAACTTTTTGATTTACAACTTTTTTTGTTATAGATACTCTTAGGAAATTGCACCTTATTTTTAATGTCTATAAACACTATATCGTGTACTTATTACAATTTAATAAAAAAAACTATTTCCTTATTTTAGTGACATACATATCTTTATCAGAAGTTACACTAATTGCAGTACTACATCACTTTTTTGAGTTTGTAGTGGTATAGATAACTCAACATTGAATTTATAAGGTATGCTATCTCTCCAGTCTTTACTTAAATTAGCTGAAACCAATGTTTCCTAGTTGCTGCTAAATTGTCTCTTTACTCTAAATAATTTGCTTCAGCCAGACCTTTTGTTGATTTTTTGTTTATATCTCCGAAATCTATTACCCAATCTCAATAAAATTTGGTACAGATAATCTATGGCAGTAGGCCTTACATTCCCTAAAATATGAGCTCTAAAGGTACAACCAATGGTGTACAACTGGGGTCATCTCCTTTTTTATAAAAAAAACCTACACCACTGCATTTTTTACAAGTTATTGTAACGGTTTTATATTCTAATGCACAAAATACGTAAAAAAGGTAACTTTTTTCCCTAAGATTCACAGTTTTCAAGTTATTCATACCAATACAATCCCCTTGTGCACACATTTCTAACCATCATATTCCAATTATGTTTATGTTTATGCTTAAAAGTAAGTGGAATTTGTAAGCACATCAACAAAATTCTTTACACTCGTTTCCACACCGTCTGTGAGGTAGAGTTCCTTAAGGGTTTCTCCTGGAAGCTTAACCCACTATCTTTACAAATAAGAACAACTTAAATCAAAATAATAATAAATGTACATTTACCAAAGGCGAGGGGTAGTGAATTTTCACAATCTGCATATTAGTCACAAGAAAATCCTCATGAAATTCGGATAAGATCTTTTCAACACGAATTTTCTGTGAACGTGTGGCTCAGAATAATTCGCAATAAAGTTTGTGGACCTTTCTTCTTGCCACCTCGATTAAATTCCCAGTCATTTCTAAAGTTTCTAGAAAACTATCTATTTGAATTATTAGAGGATGCTCCATTAAATATATGACAGATACAATGGATGGTGCTCCTGCACATCCTTGGAGAATATAAGAATGGCTTAATGAAAATTATATGGGTATATGGGACGATGGATAGGTAGGTAGAAGACCAAGTGCCAATTTCAACCATATTGGTGCAGAGGGTCCAGTGTCTTGGCCAGCCAGATTGCCATATCTAAAACCACTGGACTTCTATGTTTGGGGTCATCTGAAAAATAAAGTTTATTCTACTCCAACAGATACAAGACTACAACTACTGCAACGAATAGAAGACGGGTGTAATGAATTAAAAGAAAACCACCACACGATATTAGCTTCAATTAATTCCATTAATAGAAGATGTCAGAAATATATCGATGTGGGTGGTTCGCATTTTGAACAATTGTTGTAAATATGTAACATTAATTTTGTTTCTTGTTTAGTTGCTGTTGCTTGGTAAATATATTTTTATTATTATTTTGATTTAAATTGTACTTATTTGTAAAAGACTATTAGGCCTCCAGGAAAAACTAAAACACGCCAGGAACACTATCTCACAGGTGGTGTAGAGTGTAAATAATTTTGTTGATGTGCTTACAAATTGCACTCACGTTTAAGCATAAACATAAATATTCTTGTAATATTATGGTTAGAAGTGTCTGCCACAACGGGATTGTATTGGTATAAATAACTTGAGAATGGCGAATCTTAGGGAAACAATTCAAGTTACCTTTTTACGTATTTTGTGCATTAGAATATAAATCAGTTACAATGACTTGTAAAAAATGCAGTGGCATAGGTTTTTTTGTAAAAAAAAAGGGATGGCCCCTGTCCAGTTGTACACCACTGGTTGAACCTTTAGAGCTCATATTTTCGCCTAAAATCAACTCTTGAAGAGATACATAATTAAATAGGAAAATATGACATTTTTCGAATTTTTTTAAACATATTGTGCTGCCAAAAGTTAAGCCCATTTTTTTTTATGTGTATAGACAAATTTTAATTTCTAGTGATATATGAAAGCCAAAAAGCCAAAAATCTCCGTGGATGGCTTTTTGAAACAGATACCTTCTGGACTATGAATAAATCGTGTGATTTTGAAAATTCAGAGCACAGTAAATTGAGCAAGCTTTCAATGATAAAACAGATTACGTGGTATGCTTTGAGAGATTTGGCCATTGATTTAAAGATCACTTTTGATGAAAATAAACTTTATGAAGATTTCTGCAATTTGAGGAAGGTTCAGGACAGCATTATTAAATCAAATGAATGAGTGGATTTGAGGTGGGTAAAATTTTTCTCAACAGTCAAAAATGGATTTGGAGATGTCGAATAGTTTCATTCTTTTTGTCTGTACCTGTATCAAATGCCACATGAGCGTTTAAATGAAGCAGAAATCCAGTCGTTTTTCAATTATTTTTTTTCACCCGGATTTAGACAGCCAAGAGGTGGCAACCCTACCCCCAAGACCTAAAAAAGGGTTGCACATATACCTGTATGCAAAATTTTAAATTTCCATTTAAATATTTTATTTTTTAATAAAAGACCTGTTTGTATCTATAAGTTCATTGAGAATAAAAAGGTATTGGGAGCAGAACATGCTCATTTGTCTCAGCCAGTCGAGAGCTGTTGTTGTAGTGGCATATTAAAATATTTCGTATCACAAAGAGAAAGGCACCGTTCCAGATTTTTAATGAAATCAAAACTGTTTCTGGGGATGGTGTGATAAATTGTACTGTGTCAAATGGTGTTGAGTATAAAACTACCAGAAAGACTGTTCACGATAAACAAAGGAGTGAGCATCCCTTAATTATGACTTATGCAGTGTGTCCACAAATCTTCAGATCTCTTCTGCATGAATGTTAACAAAGGGAATATGATTGTTTCATGACAATATAGGTCCCTACGCAGCCAATTAAACAATAAAGCAACTCTTAGATTCATTCTGTTGGAATATAATCAACCACCCTGCCCACAACCCTGATCTGGCACCTTCTGATTTTCATCTTTTCTCTTCTCTGAAGGTGTTTATGGGTGGAAAATTCAACTGAGGACGAGGTCCACAGTACCGTGAAACAATAGGATCGAGAAGTGGCGGGTAATTTTTTTTACAAAGGTAGCAGAAAGCCCATCCCTCAGCTCAGCGAAATACATTGAGGTTGAAAGCGAAAAATTGTGTTTGATGTATCTTTCTGAAAATGAAAATTTTTCATAAATCGACTACCATTTCAATTTTAAAAAAATTGAGTTCTCTTACTTGGGCGTGCCCTGTAAAATACGTTCTCCCACAATAATCACATCAATTTAAAAATTTTAAATTATCATAAATTAATGTTATTGCATTTGTTCCTATAGAAGAAAATTTAAAATTATTACAATTAATTTATAATTCAATTTTCTTTTAATATCGTGTTAGAAAAATTAAAAGGAAATACAAAATCATTTTTTTTTATCATTAAGGTACACTTAAACAAATGTATGATTTATTTAAAACAATTAAATAATTTTACACAAGATCTTCTAAACCGGGCCTCTTATGATAAGTGTAAAATCTATTCGGTCTTCTTTCTTGTTCAGCGGTATTAATTCTTCGGTAGGAAAATTTATCTTGTCTGTTATTCATAACTGGAGGCTGCTGAATTTCAAGGCATAATTGCTCATCTAAACTCTGAAAATAATCAATGGATTAAATCACTTTGGTACACATTATATGTTCATCCTGCAAGTATCTCTTGGAATGTGAATTTTGAATATCTCAAATATACATACAGTGCAGGTCACTAACCCGAAATAAATTCAGTACATCAAACACAAAATTGTTAAAAAAAATGCTCAGACATGTCAATTACTGTTATAAATTGCACACTTTTTATGAAAATTGTATATATATAGTGTCCCAAATAGGAGAAATGCTGTTATCGAAGATTTTTTTTTAAATTACGACCCGGTTTTTTTGGGTTTGTTGTAAAAGGCACAATACCAGATCCGCCTTTCACAGTCCGAACCAATCAAACAAAGGTACCGCCTGCAAAACCCGAAGATGCAGGTCATTATCAACAAGGAGGTTGATGAAATGCTGAACAACGGGATAATAGAGCCGTCCGACAGCCTGTGGAGTTCACCCATCGTCATCGTCCGCAAAAAGGATGGAAAACCTCGATTCTGCATCGACTTTCGAAAAGTCAACGAGGTTACCGAGAAAGACGCCTACTCAGCGCCATACATCAATGCAATACTGGACAAGATCCACAAGGTCCGATATATCTCCAGTTTAGACCTCAAACAGGGATACTGGTAGATACCACTTACTGCCGAGAGCAAACCGATCACTGCTTTCACCGTCCCTGGCCAAGGCCTGTTCCAGTTTTGAATCATGCCTTTTGGACTTCACTCAACTCCTGCTACATTGATGATGACATCATCCTATTAGGAGAGACCTTTGAAGAACACCTGGACAACTTACGGGAAGTATTCCGCCAACTACGAATGGCTAACCTGCAACTAAACCCCGACACCGCAGAGGGGATACAGACAGATCCTGAAAAGGTGGACTCAATTAAGAAGTTCCCTACCCCCTCGAAAAATCAGAGACGAGGAACTTAGGAAACAAACTGATTTGGAGATTCAGTTCCTCACCAAAGTTCTGCACGTATCCAGTGCGTAAGTCTTCGAGTCGATCGGGGACCTGGCGAGGTAATTTCATTGCAGAATTAGTTCTGTTCTTCTGCTACTACGGTGCGGACGTATCGAGGAAAGGAAGTGAGTTAAAGGTTTAGGAAACATAGGTTTAGACTAGGCTGCTGTCCGTTTGTACTAAAACTGTAAATAATTGTAAATATTTGTGTGACTTTTATTCCTGTGTGAAGTCTAACACTCTCTAGACCCTCTGGACATACTGTGTCTTCACTGTAGCCGCCCGAGTAGTGGTGTTTCTGCACTACAAACAGAAACTGGTGCCTGACGTAACCACCGCTGCTCAGGCGTCATAGTGGCGAAAAACGTCATAAATTTGGCACATTACCACCAAATTTCAAAAACTTATTCCTTGTCGTTCATTCATTAAGATACAGCAAGTTAAAACTTAACCTTTTACCATACTGACCTTGTTCTAAGGCTAAGCTCTGTGGAGGTGGACCCTCAATCAGAACCTCTAAGCATGCCCAGATTTTCAGTTCTTGTAGTTGGTTCTAAGCCTGCTATGAAGGAACGGCTCCTCAGACAACAGTGATTCTCTGAGAAATCCTGTAATGCCCTTCGCCATTCTTCAGTGGTGTCTCTGCAAAAGCTCCACCTTGACTGTGGCCACTTGTGACCCCGTCACCGACCTTATAATGTAGATGTTGTAGCACACGAATTTAGGCCCACACAGTACAGCGATACGAGTGGGGTGGGAGGTAAAACCATTATTAAAAGTTGGTAGGTGAGTTGACCCACCCAAAGATGCATTTACAAACAACTTTTCGACAGATATCTAACAGTGTAGTAGAACAGGCAATTAAATCATATACGTTTTTTAAATTTCAAGAATGGTAAAATAATAATTTTTTAGGTTGCTGGATCTTAGGAGAACTAAGTCAGATAAATATTTGAAATTCAATGATGTACAACTTTAAAAGCCCTTCAAAAAATCCCAAAAAAAACTAGGTTTGCTATTTAAAAAATTCATTGATGACATCATATGTCCTATATTTAGGACAACCTGTTTATATAATTCTTTTGTAAAAAAGTGCACAACTTATAATACTAATTGAAGTTTTTGAGCTTTTTTTAACAACTTTGTGTTTGATATACCGTATTTATTCTTAATGCCTCATACGGTATAATCAAAATCAATTACTGGGTAGGAAAGAGCCGATGGTCTATCACAAGTTACGTGAGAGCGATAAAGTAAGACATAGAAATCCATGCGATAGAGAAGGATGGCTATAATTAAGGCGTATCATAGTCAACGCCCATTTCGCCCTTCCACAAATAAGAAGTGGATCTTATTTGTGGAAGGGCGAAACGGGCGGTGACAAAGAGAAGCCTTCATTATAGCCATCCTTCTCTATCGCATGGATTTCTATGTCTTACTTTATCGCTCTCACGTAACTTGTGATAGACCATCGGCGCTTTCCTACACAGTATATTCATAAGAAATCTTAAAAAAAAGAAAGCTAATACTTTATCCATAAATTTTTACTCTTTACCATATCAGATATGTGTCCTTGCTTCTTCAATAATTGTTTGATTCTATTAAATTCCAATGCTAGCTCAGGATTTTCTAGTTTTGCAATAACGTTTCTTACTCGTTCTAATACATCTGAATTAAATGTGTGTACAGTGTTATTATCAGGAATATCTTCATTTAACAAACTTTTCAGTATGGGAAGTGTATCTTCAACCCTTCCTAGTTCAGCTAAAGCGACAACCTATTAGAAAAAACATAGTTTTGTCATGAAAAAAATTTTATTATATATATTTCTATTAATATAAATAGTGTTCTGAATTGCATATGCCAAACTTTACCTCCTTACCAAAATAAAAAAAAAGTTCAAATAAACCCAACTAGGTACATTAAACATTCTATGACATATGAGTTTTTTTATTATTGTGGGGTATTCTGTCACCAGGAAAAGTTTGGCTCATGCAATTAGGGACTCCCTGTATATAAATGCATTCAAAGTTTTTATATGCAAGGTATGCCATTTAACAATGGTGTTTCGTTATAGACTAAAAGAGATATTTCATTTCTAGTTAAATCAAAAACTGACCATTTTAGTAATTGCTCTTTAACAGTAATTGTCTAATTGTGCAAAATGTTAACTGAAATTTACCAAAAACTTGTATTCAAAAAGTCATTCAGCATTTTTGTCAAGGAACAATAAATAAAATCGCCAATATTTTAATTTAATTTTGCACAGGAAGTGAAAAGTGAAAAAAATGTCCAAAATTTAATTATCTATTCTTATGCAATTGTTTTGGATAGAAAAGATTTTTGCCACCTACGAATAGGTATATGGACAAAAATAAATATACATGTTCCAGGATCTATATCAAATTTAGACCAAATCATTCTCTGATATTTCCAGGTTCTCCACATAGATTAAAAAAATTTTCTAGGTTGTACAAATCAGTTCATTTTCATGAGCTTCAATTTTTCAACAATGGTTTCTCAATATCTCCCAAGTAAATATCTAGCAAACCATAATTATTTTGATAATTTTTTACTGTATGTGATAAACAATCAAATTCCTATTTCAAACCATGTGATGTTTATCCAATCATTAAAATATTACAGCGATATTGCGCATACCTATTATGTGGTGTTGTCAACAAAGCATGATTGATTTAACTGTCGGGTTGAAAATGAACAAATGTTAGGTTAACAATCAATTTATTTTTTATTAAAAATGTCACAAATGCATCAGCGGTGGGAATCAATAACAAGTCAACTTCATCTTTTAACTTTATTAACTGGTTAATAATTCCCATATTTCTTAAATAATCTAAGAATTAGTTTTAAATTTGGTGGACTGTACTTGTTTGATATTCCAAAAAAAAAATACTTTTTTTATAGAATAATGTAAAAATTCATGGCATCCAGCGGTAGCATACAAAAGTTAAGACCAGTTACTACCTATTGAAATTTTAAAAAAATTCTTAGGAATTAAAAAAATTTCTGATATTTCTAGATCTATGAAATTCCGTAATAATTCCAGATTTTCCCAATTTTCCAGATCTCTACCCTCCATATACAACTAATGAGCATCTGAAAATCATTGAGAGTTGAATGACCTATGAAAAGGTAGTTTCTGTTTCTGGGTCAATACAACACTTAGATATGAAGTGTCAGTTTTGTTTATTTCATGTTTTTCATATGAAATACAATTAATTAATTTTTACAAAAGAAAAGAATAGTTAATTTGTTTATTATTTAATTACTTATATTGACTTATTGCACACCACTTTCAGGTACATTGAAGGAAATTTCTGAACAAGTGGCAACACTGTCATCGAACTTCAAAGGCAGATTGTTTTATTTATTCTTATCTTACAGACATATCGACACTTTAGTATGAAAACATGCTATGTCAGATTTCGGTTGGAAAACATATTTTCATATTAAAGCGTCGATATATGTGTAGGCTTATCTCTCTTATATTTCTTCTTCTTGAGGCAGAAGATATTTGATATATTAGCATCGGTGTAGGTTATTCGCATACACTTTTTCTCAATGTTATTTCGATTGTGTTCATTTAGATGAAATATGTGTTTCTGTGCTTGTTAACTGTGATATAGTGAATTACTACTATTTTAAATTTATTAATCTATACATTTACCATATGCTTTTTATAACTGTTTCCAAAAAACAATATGCATGCTTGTGCCTAATAATGAATCCATTAGAGTCATAAATCATTTAATTCACATTGAATTAGATGGGCTATAGCATCAATTTAAAATAAGTACATGTACTTTAGTTTCTAAGGAAACACTAGAGGGTATGTTAAGTGCCATACCCTCTGATGGCAACTAAAATAGTGCCAATAATTTATAGTACACATACACACACCTACCTTCAAATTCCTGACTGTAGTATAATTTTGATTCCTTGCCGATGTCAGGATTTCCAACGCTATACCTGGCTGACCTTGATTTAAAGCAAGCCCTGCACAAAATGTAGTTGCCCTTCGCATGGGAAAATGCCCTACATTTTTTAGTTCCTGCCATAGTTTCAAAGCATAATCTAGACTTTCCTTTGAATTCTAAAAAATTAATTATACAATTAAACAATTTTAAATTATATCTAACACATAATACTCACAATTTTATAACAAGCTGCTAATGCTAACACTATTATATTCCTTGGATACTGAGATCCTTCAATTTGCCTGTTCTTAATTAGGTTTACGGCTTCTAATACTTCATCATATTTTTTATTTTCATATAAGAGGTCTAATAAAATTTGGTAACTTATAAATTGGTCAAAAAATCCTGTCATTTCAGAAGACTTAAAGCACTAAAAAAGATTAGAAATGTTAAATACATAGAAATTTAAGACGATCTTAATTCTCTCGAAACAGAAACAAATTTTATTTGTTTTATATATATAATACTGACAATATTTACTGACAATATACTGACAACTATTTAACCAGATTGTACCCTGTATTCTATACATCTCTCATGCGAAAATAATTAATTTTTTCAAGGTAGCTGAATTTAGTTTGAGAGAGAAAGCCCTGTAGTATATTTAAATTTCAATGGATTTCTTAATTAAAATAAAAAATACCTCATATGCCAAGTCAGCCTTACTGAATATATAGAAAAGGCGCATTACGACAGGTCCAAATACATAGTTTCCAAACCTCAGTTGCTTATTTTGTTGATTAAACCTAAATGAAACAAATTATGTCAAGATTCCATTAAGTACTACTATTAAATATTATACTTTTTGATCATTTTAACAACTAATTCTACGTCCTCCTCATTCTGAGAGAGGTGTACCATATTCTTCAAATCCTCTGTAAAAATCATACTCTTAGATTCATCTTGTGAATATTCAATCATTTTTTGCTTAAACCTATCTGCTATATTTTCCATTTGGTGTTGAGTTTTTTCTCTTTGCAAGTTAAATCCATCTATTCCTAATGTGGTCTTTGCATAAAGATGCCGCACAGCTTTAATAAAGTGAAAAGCATTAGTATACAAAAAAAATATAGGTTATATAAGGCTTACTTCGCGTATTTATCACAGCAATAAAATTATTTGCTTTTGATAAATTACTTATATTACTACAAAACGGAAAATTTGTATTTCTTAATATACAAAAGAATCTGTTGGCCATCATGATATTTATATAAAATTAATTACACTTCACTCTAAAAACTCATTTGAAAGCTGACATTTGTCAAATGTCAAATGTCAATTGTCAATACGTTTACGTAGAGGTCCTTTCGATTTGGCAAAAATAGTAGCTATTAGCAGCTAATAGCAACTTAGAGTTAATCTGAACTGATATTAGTTGCTAATATTGACTATTTTTGTCAAAACGAAAGCCCCACATAGGGCCTTTCGATTTGGCAAAAATAGTAGCTATTAGTAGCTAATAGCAACTTAGAGTTACTCTGAACTGATATTAGTTGCTAATAAGTACTATTTTTGCCAAAACGAAAACCCCCCATGGAGACTCCTGTTTACGTCAATCAATACTCCATAGTCAGGGAACAGACTGGACACAAAACAGAACGTAGCACCACTGATCTCTATTAGGTTATAGACATAGATAACAAAACACTATAAATTCGTATCTCAGTGCTAACACGCGCCATTATTCCATGGCTAGAAATTGGCCTCAATGATTTGGGATCGAGGGGGATTATCCCTCCTTATCCTGCCTCATCTCGTGTAGGCCTGGACAGCCTTCGTAGGTGGGCCCCATCTGTCGTCTACCCCGACCGCAAATGCGGCCGGTGTAGGCGCTTTGTGGGACCTCCTTTTGTCCTGGCTGGGCCCCGCCGGCTATTGCCCTTTCTTCTGGCGCTCTTCTTGCTTCACCGGCTCGTCTGTGTAAACCCCGGGGGTGGTGTCATGTTTACAGTGCTAACAATGTCTAGTCTCCCTGGCTAACAACTACACGTAAACAGCGCTGTAAGTAATTGAGCCGAGAATTATTTCTTAAAAGCGGGAACTTTGGAAATTAACTATTGAAACATTTTATTCGAATCTAACCCCATCCTCAATTTTTTTCACTTTTGCACTCAATGCACACTGAATACATTTCCATATTTTATTGTTATCAAGTTGATAACGCAGATCGAAGATATTCTCAGTGAGCATGGAATGCAACAGTGAAAATAAATCAAAAATGCTGTAAACGGTTTCATTTGTTGCTTATGGTAGAATTAATTATTTATCATATTTGTGTACTATTTTCAACGAAATAGGTTGAAGAATAGGAAAATGTATCATAAAATATATATAATAAATATTCTCCATATAGTAAAAATAGAAATTTGAGAATAATAATTACTAAAAAGTTATTAAAATATGCAATAAAATTATTCATCATAATATTTTTTATTCTGACAAGCAGACATTACGTACATTACCTAGAGGTAGCCTATTGCTGTTCTAACTTAGCACTCTTTTGGCCACCAAATTTCCTTTGCCTATTTATGGAAAAGTAGGTATGCAAGATACTACTTTCACAGATGAATCTGTATGTATACAGACAGAACATTAAAACTGGTACTTTATCATGGTTTTTTCAGGTTTTTCAAAAATCACTCTTTAGGAAACTCTATATTTATTTGTGGTATATAACAATTGACAATAAAGAAAAGTCAATTATAAAAATAATTAAAAATTAACACATTTAGGTACTAGCAAAGACTTACACGACAATTTTTAAATAAATTGCAATAATAAATAACTGTATAGTGGTTCATAACATTGTACATACTGTAACTGCAGAGTGAGGCAACTTACATGACCACTTAAAAGTCCTTATACCAAATTTGTAGATTTTTAATTTTCATTAAAATCTACTTCCAACTATCTTGAACATATTTTATAGGAATTATTTTTTTATTTTGATATACGCCACTGGACGCCAACAGATTCTTAAGGTCAAATTGCCAAAATCCCAGGACCGTATTGGGAAAAATGATCATTTTTTGGGTCTACCTACATAAATAAATATTTGCAAGTACGGTCCTGGAATTTTAAAATTCTGTTGATCTTCAGCGGTCCACATCAGAAGTAAATTAATTCCCAAAAATGGTTTAAAAGCTACAGTGAAAATAAATTTTAGTGACAGTTCAAAGATCACCTTTCCAAATACTTTTTTAACCCAGAACTCGGTAAAGCGGTCATACATCACTGGCCTAAGTCGCATTTCTCTGCCATTGCAGTACCTATGTAATGTAATACTTAATTTAAATTACTGTTCTATTCTACTAGAAGTGTCTTTAGGAAACACAAATATGTATTGATTATTGATTCTTAACTTTTTTTTGAAGCGTAGTGCGTATCAATTTATGCTTAAGGCTCTGTATTTTTATTCCGGCCTTCATAATCATAACAGTAAACAAATAATTAGAACACATAAAGGCAATCCTTTCAGGCCAACTGAAAATATAAAAGAGTCCGTAAATCCATTTCCCAGAGCTGAAGTAAACACAAAGGAATCTGGAAAACAAATAACTAAATCAAAATTCAAAGGGCAAAAAGGTTTATTAATATTAATCGAGTGTTAATTAGAAGTGATTATTATTGTTTTAATTGCATGGATTATGTTGATTATTTTTAGAAAATAATTAACTGTTTACGTAATTACGAAATTTTTATCATTTTTATTTACTATTAATTGTTTTTAAATTTTAAATACCTACTACACTGATAGAAAGCCTCCAACTAGTTTCGAATTCATATAGCCCCCAAATAGCAATTTGGTATACAATGGATGAACATATTATCAAAAAGAAATTAAAGTTACCTGCATATCAAAACTAATTATATGAGGCAAATATTATGTAAAAAATAATAATTTATAACTTACGTCGTGTTGTAAATTGTCGAGAGTATAGTTAAACCAATGAAAGCTGATTTAAAGGTAGGTAGAAGTTGATTGACTATGAGAACTTCTATAACTAAAAATACCACTATATTGGTGTGTAAACAATGATTCAGCCACTCAGGAACATATTCATCCAGAACCTCCGGAAGGACCCATTCTCTGTTTATGGAATAAACGCTCCAAAACATCGCAGATACGAAGAGAGAACATGGGAAAACGAGACTTGTGAAAATGTAGCCTTTATACAGTTGTATCTTCCCTTCAAGATTTGATTGCCTCGTAAAAATATGTAGTATATCGTACAACATGGCCAATAAAAAGTAAAGAGTTTGAATTACCTAAAAATATACATTATAAATTTAAATTTTTCATATTTGTAGTTTCTATGGCATTAAATACACAAATTTATCTTTGTCTAACTAAAATCTACACAAATTATCACTTAAGCTATTAAGCAGGAACACAATAATTTTTATGGTTTTTAATAAACCATATTTTCTTTAAGTCACGATTTGGTAAAGTGTGTGAGAGATAGATAACTTTTCTGCATTTTTAACTACCTTTACTAAGTCATGACATGATGCAGGCACGAATTCAAACATGATTTAAAGGTGATTTATGTATGTTTCTATTATACAGGGTGATTCCCAAATGGTGACCAAAAATGAAACCTCGTATTCTTTGGTGAATTTTAAGGGGAGTTTTTCATATAAAGTTTTTATCTAGGACGCTTCGTGACAGGATGTAAAATTTCAAAAAATATTTTAAATTATTTTAATTAATTTAAAGGCTAGTAAGTGAAATGATTTGAAATTGGGCATATGTATTTATGTAAACATTGTATAAAATCTGAGGGCTTTTCATTTTATATTTTCGTTACTAAAAAAATTTCGGGCTCGTGTTCGTGGAAATGGAGGTATTTTTGAGTAATTACTCAAATAAAATCATTAAAATGATGACTAATGTTATTAATTTCTTTATTCGAATAAATAACCGAACGATTACTGCTTGTCATGTCATTTAAATAAAAGTGTTTTCAGTTGGTTTTTTAAGTTTTACTTGAAAATCAGGCTTTTTTCCGAAAAACATAAGAGAGTAGTAATTTGTAGACAATTGAAAGACGAATCCGAAAATATCATGGTTGTTACCGTAAAGCAATGACTACTATTTTATTTAGAAAATTTTGCCACCGATACCTTGTATCTCCGCTACTGGAGCATGAAAATTTTAGCAAAAGCCTTCAGATTTTGAACAATGTTTACATAAATACAAGTGGCCAATTTCAAATTATTTCACTTACTAGTTTTTAAATTATTTAAAAAAATTAAAAATATTTTTTGAAGTTTAACTCCCTGTATATTTTTAACGAAGCGTCCTAGACTTCCCTTAAAATTCACCAAAGAATACGCGGTTTCATTTTTAGGCACCATTTATAAATCACCCTGTATTTACAGGAATCAGGAATACCTACATGGGCATAATAAATATGTATATCATCAAATAAAAAAAAACGCTTCCATTAAAAGATTCATTTTCTCTCAACTGCCAGTAAATCTCATGACATTTATTAAATCAATTAATTAATTAATTAATTAATTTCATTAATTACAGCTTGACCAAACCTATCTTGTCCGTGAGAAGAAAATCGCAGGAATCCTTTAATAGTAGACCGTCTGAGCTAAAATTTTACGTATTTATTTAATGAAGGTTTTACAGGGTGATTTAAAAAATCGCTGACAGACTCCTATGTTAGAAAATATATACAAAATTAAGGGAAAAGGTCTTAATAATTAATTTTGTCAGAATTAAATAACGTAAACAAGAATCAACGAAACTTAATGGGTGTAAATATAACAATAAAAATTACATATTTGGATATATTAAAAATAATTATGATAGTAGGTGTTGGAAGTAACTACCTATTGATCCTCCAGGCCAAGGATCTTCTTCTCTCAAAAATGCCGGATAGGTATATTATGAACTATTTGAAAGGCCTGTTGTATTCATTCGTTGCCTTAGTGCATCAATTGTATTTATTATTATGTAAACCAGCTCCTTAATATAGCCCCAAGTCAAGAAAGTTCATGTCCGCTGAACGAGCGGGTCACCGGATTGGACTACCGCGGCCAATCCACCGTAGGAGATATGTCAGATTAAAGTAATTCCTAACTTGTCGAGTGAAGTGTGTTACTGCACCGTCGCAGTCGTACTAAATCCGAATATTCATCCGCACATGCAATCTATTTACTAGAGGAAAGGGTCCTGAGAGCAATTAAAAATAATAATATATTAAATACCCGACAAATTTTTGAAAATTTAGTTCTTTTTAATATGTCCAAATATATAATTTTCATTATTATATTTACACGAATTAATTAACTTTCGTTGATTCTTGTTAGGTTAGTGTTTATTCTGACAAAATTAATTCTAACTTGAATTACACAAAAACTGCAAGAGACCAATTTAATATATATTTGGACACCACACGGAAATTGTGCCCCTTTAACAAAATTAGCATTGCGTAGAAAATAGGTATATTTAAAGAAGTGCCACATTGGCCCGCTACGCCACTGTTACCCATAAACTATTGAGTAGTACATCAAATAAATTGTCTTTAGATGCTAACTTCACGTAGAAAACTTGAAATAAAAATGTTAAGGCATTGGAATTACCGAAAATAATGTATCATTTTTAAAAAACTTTAACCCCCTGTGTACCGTTAAGGAAGTAATTGTGAGCTCATGTTTCTTAGCAATTTTTGCCTTAAATTTTATCATGTACTTTCTGCCTTGTCAACTCTTTCTAGCTCTTTTCCTAAAAAAATTAGTACATCGCCATTTTGTACGTATCACAAATTTAAATAAATATATGGTGCACAATTTCACGACTTTGTGCATTTTACAGTTCACAAGTGATTTAAATTTCATAGTTTAAACAATTTTTTCTCAGACTGCACCGATATTCACCGTTCGTAGTTCGGACAGAGAATGAGCTCCGGTGCTAGTCTGGTAACTTTGTCATTTGCGCATCTGAAACAAGAAACATGCGGACAGGATAAATTTGGCGAAGTTGTACTCCATAAAGACACTATAGTAGGAACATTTCGAAGAAAATAATAAAACATTGCCTGTCAAGGGATCCAGTGCAGTACGGTTTTAAGGGATTTAGAAATTGAATTATTTCTTTATGCATTATGAAAGGATGAAGGAATCAGGTCACGTCTGGCTCCCTGTTCCTACAAAAATTTCTTTATTCTCATAAACTATTTATTTTAAATGTAATTTATTATAAATCCAATTTGTTTTTTAAACTCCACATATGTACTACATTTCACCTCTGTTGTTTACTTGTTTTTTTTTGGAGGCGGTCTCTGATTTACGACCAAGCTCGCCAGGTTAGTATTTGACGTATAACCGACCACCTCGTACACTCGATGCACCTGAGCGACTACAGCTACTACCAGAACACAGTGCGTATGAAGCGGTATTATTAAATTATTAAATTTGAAATGGTTCATCTTACGCGTCCTAAAAATGATGACACGATTTTCCTTTGATAAAAGACCGACAATTTTTTGCTCTACTTTGCATCGAATACGATCCTACTTATATGTAGTAATTAAATTAAATTAAGCTCAACTTTATTTTCCCTTAGCTAACAAAATTTATTGTTACTTACCATATTCCAGGATGTAAAGTAAACGGGTGCGAATCTTTCCATATTCAAGACCCTTTCATCAATAACTTGACTTAAGTCCTTCGGTTTGTTAGAGTAGAAAATGGCATAAATGTGATGGATACATACGGCAACATGAAAAAAGGGGCCAAGAATGTCCCTGACTCGTGTCATTTTTTAATCTGTGTAACAAAAATTGAATCAGGGATAAAGCATCGAAATGTTTGGCAAAATTTGAACATGTCTATAGATGTCCTCAGTATCAATTAGTATACAGAGTATTTCAAAATATCGTACCACAAATGGAATAATAGAATATTAAAAAATGAGACGTTTTTTTCCTGTGAAGTCTACCTATGAGTCTATCGCTTCTTGTTTTACTTCTTATGGAAATTGATACATAAGTGATCGAAAATATTTAGATCTATGAGAGAAAAAACCCTTTTATTAGATGAAAGTAAAACAGTTTATTTAAATAATTGTTAATATGATTATAGCAAATACCCTGTGTGCTATTATCGTCTATGTATATCTGATATTTTTTTTCTAACGTAAACATTTGTCGATGGGATAAGTTAAATAATAATGTGCCTTGTTAAATATAAATAAAAATTATCTATACAGTGTGTCTATACAAAGCCCTATTTTTCGAAAATCAAATTAATGACATATAAATTCTGTAGAAAATGTTATGTACCGCTATTTAATATTTTCATATACCTAATATTATTACCTTTCAGTTGGTGTAATTTATATTGTTTAATTTTACAATATTGATATTGATGCGTATGAAATTAAAAATAATAATTCAGTTAAAAATCTTCAATCTATCAAATCAAAACATTTAAACACAAAATTTACTAAAATTAATTTTATTCTTTAATTTAGGGATTACAGGGGTTTCAATTTTTAACTTTAGTGATGTTAATCTGAAACAGATTTTTCTATACCAGCTTCTAAAACTTACAAGTAAATTAAAAATCGCAATGCAAATACATACTTACATTTTTAATTGTAACTGAAAAATTTATATAACTATTAACTGTTACTGGAAATATAAATCACAGGGAAATACTTTAAAATTTAAGTTTTGCCTGTACGCAATGTCAATGCCTACTTAAAAATAGTCTCAAAATATATTTTTTTTCCAACCGACCTTTGCAATTAACGTTTTTCATTTAAATATAGGTCCATAAACATATTTTGGAAAATGATTCATTCAACAGATTTGTATTAAAGCTATTATTTTAATTAAGGGCATACCTTTAGACCTCCACATAAAACGAAAATATAAATAACCAATTTCAAACGAGTGGCTCTGTATACATGCACAGTGATACTGAAAAAAATATACAAGTAAACTAATCGAATGTTTGTTTATTTATTCATGGCTCTTTTACATTTCAAACCGCGTGCGCGAGTTATGTATCAATAAATTGAATTATGTTATATATATATGTAAGTGTAAGTTTTTTTGTACAGTGTCTGACCTGTCTGTCTGTCGGTCGCTTGTCTATTGAAGTATATAAATAAGATAGTATTAAAGCTATTTTTGTGGTTTTTAGAATAAGAACTCACATTGACATATTTTACTTCGCCGAATAACCTAGAACAATGTTTAGTTTTCACAAGCTGAATTGCAGAATAATTTTCTGAAGTAAATTGTTGATTTAAAATATTTTAGCTTTTTTGTGTTTTATGTACCTATTTATATTACGTATGAATTGTTTACATTTACAGGAATAAAAAACAATGTGTATTTATTACATTGACAATCTTTTAAATTTTAAGGCGGTTTTGACAAAAGTATCCATAAATTGTAATTAAATTAAATTTGTATCTGTTCTCCATAATTTTGTGATAATATAGAAACTTTTTAAGGGATTTATATGAAATTTTCTTTTGTTTTCTTACATAATTTGTTTAATTTTCGAAGTTTTTGTTAAATTTAGATATAGATAATACAATGACAATATTTCCAGGATATTGTTGTTAGGAATTTATTTTTTTGTAAACACCACAATCTGATTTTATTTTTAACTAATGAAATATCATTAATTACACAGGTCAACAAGGATCAAGAAACAGACACACTAATATGCATTTCCGAAGGATTTTGGTGCGCTGAATCCGAATCTGCCCGCAGAATTGCTCTATCACGTCAGATTTTTGAGATATCCTAACCTAAATGTTTAAAGATACTCAAGTTACGTAAACAAAAACATTCCCATCCTTAGATACTAATGCCTACTTTCAATGTGTTTATTTCTCAAGCCCAACGACCCTTAGCTCATAAATTAAAATGCTTATATACAGGTATATTGTAGCACTAAGCTTAAGAGAGACTTTTAGTTTTTAATCTGATTTGATACAGAATAGATGTGCTATCTGAATAAGTGAATAAACAATATTATCTTTTAATTATTAAAGTGTTTTAGTTCTACCCATAATGCCAACACTAAATGTGCAAAAAACTCTGTTTTTCGTCATATTTGAGGTTATGTAGTAATGCCATCTATTCCTTTTCAAAAAAAATACATATAATTTAAAAGTACAATGCTCCCTCTTTCGAATGATGTTGACTGCTCAAATATCTTTTTTTTTTCGTTGAGATATCACATGCTGAAATTTCTAAGTTTATCAGTTTCTTAATACCTATGCGAAAATCTAAAGGATCCCTTAGACGTCAAACAGTTGATTGCAGTTCAGAAACTTCATACTCAGAAACCTTCAATACATACGAACTCAAACTCACAAACTCCAAATCCACAAACCCACAAACCCCAAACCCACAATCCCTAAACCCACAAACCCCAATTCCACAAAACCCGAACCTACAAACTCCAAGCTTACAAACCCCAAGCCCAATAACTCTAAACCCACAAACCGTATGGGTAAGAAGTTTCTGAAACTGAGAAACTTAAAAATTTCAACATGTGATATCTCAACGAAAAAAAAAGATATTTGAGCAAACTCAACGGCATTCGAAGGAGGGAGCCTTGTACTTTTAGATGCAATGTATTAGTTTTTTGAAAAAGAATAGATGGCATTACTACATAACCTCAAATATGACGAAAAACAGTGTTTTTTGCACTTTTAGGTTAGGATATCTCAAAAACCTGACGTGATAGAGCAATTCTGCTGCCAGATTCGGATTCAGCGCAAATAAAACCTTCAGAAATATATATTCAAGTTTCTAATTCCAAAAAAAAAATTTAATTTTGTTGGTCTGTGTTATATATCATAAACGAACAATATCGTATTACACCAATAACCAATAAACAACTAAAATCATTTATCAATATCATCCCACAATAGCGTTAAAAGTTTATTTCGCCTAATACGAAAACAAATCATGCTTTCAAGGCACCTACAGATTAGTAGGTCACCCTTTGCCGTAGTAAAACATTTGAAAATAGTTTTTTTTATTCATAAACCTAGTGATTCTACTAAACATGGTTTGTATTTAATTTAGTTATATTTGCCAATTATCATCTTGTAATTTATTTTTGCTACTTAAGTATTTAGTGAATAGACCAATTTCAACTACATACATCAAAACTTATCATTAAATAATCTGTTGTAAAAAAATTAAGGAAGCAAATAAACAAACAAAAACTAAAAATTCAGTTATTAAAAAATACGTCGTTTTGCAAACGAAAATAGATCCATTATCAAAATGCAAATTAATTGAGGCATGTATATTTCTTAACTTTTAATCATTTGCTTTTTTAGTGAGATTTTAAGGCAAAAATAATTTTAAAAATACATTTTTAACATTTTTCAGATGTGTTATATTCAGATATGCTATATTTCGAAATGAACAGAGAATAATATATCATATCAAAAAATGGAATATTATAGAGAAACAAATAAGAATTTAGGTTTTTAATTCATATTAGGTAAAGATCATGACGAAAAATATTTAATAAAGGAGAAATATTTTCTTTAAAAATAAAATGCTAATTTGTTTGCTAATTTGCTAATGTTTAATGCTAATAATGTTTGCTTTTATAAAACTCTTTATATACCAGTTGATTAAAAAGGAATGGCATATCATACTTTATTCAATTCACATTACCCTTGGTTAAACCTTGAATTACCTACCATTAATTATGACTGAACTTTTTCGATTATTTTATTTATTTAAAGATATTGATTTATAATTTTAACTATACTATGCTGATCTCTGCCATTAATTATTTATAATAATTCATGGATTATTTCCTCGAAAATATTTTCATGCATTTACTTTGTAAAATTGATACACCTAAATACCTAATAGATATTGAAATAATAGCGGTGTTGTGAATTAGCAAAAGCTAATGCGCAACATTATCAATAAAAAATAAAGTATTTCTAATAACACCAACACTGGTAGCAAAATCTTGCACAATACACTTATACAAGACTGCTGTGTACCTACTGCTGAAATCAGCATCAGGTTTACTGCAAGATTCATTGTGCAATTGTCTTGATCAAAGCTTTCAATGTATTTGATTCAGGGCACTTGAGCACAAAGGGGTAAATCAAAGCAAGTGACTATGTTGCAGACTTACATTAGAATTAAGTAAGACATATTGTAGTTGACTTATACTAATTCACCCCTTTGGACTCAAGTTCTTTTGGTTAAGTCTGATGCAAGTATTGTAAAAGTATCTTGCATAAGAAACGATATAAATTTCAGCAATAGACACAGAACAATCTGACACAATTTGGCTATTTCAAGTAAACTTGAAACAACATGTATTAGAATTGCACACGATTGTGCTACCAGGGAAGTACGTCTTTTCATAATCTCATCTTAAATTTCTTCTTCCAAAGACATTAATGTGGATTACTTTACAGTCTACACTATGGATTTATATCTCCTGTTATTCACTTATTCACTCAGTTGCAGTTGTTTCAATCCGAATTGTTGACCGAACTTTTTCTGTAATATGTAACACATTTCTCTTTTTTTCTTCAATTCTTATTTTATCCATCCTTGCGATTGTTTCTATTTTCTGAAAAATTTTCTCAGGTACCTTATTATTTTACGTGCGTAATTTGTACAGGATAGTCTTACTTGTATTCAATTTATTAAATAAAGATTATCTGATAATATTCCAAATATTTAAAAGTTCGCTAAACTTAAAAGAAAGTATTGAAAAATTCAAATCTACAAATAGGTCTTAAGCATAACAGTGGAATGCATATTTTTTACGCATAACTGCATTAATTATAGCATTTAAAGAGTTGCTGAAATTGTTTGTAGTTCTGTAAGATGAGAATATATTTATGGCGATTTTTAGTAAAATATAGTCCATACAATTATTTTTCCTTGTTGATTAATTTTATTAAAATAAAAAATATTGTGGATTCTACTAGGGGCAATAAGATATATATTTTTAAATGCGATGTTTTGTTGAAGTAACATTTATTGATATACTTTCATGATAATTTATATTTATTTATTAATTAATGTAAATCCGGGATCTAAAAAGAATGTCAACAAGGTTATCACTAAGAATTTTATTTTTAATTTTATCTGGATTCACATATTTCTTGTAAACCGGATATGCACCTACATAAATTATATATATAAGAAAATATGATATATGTATTTATCTTTACTTACGATACCCATATACTATAACTTCAGATCGGTATAAAAAATGTACTTTTATGACAGGACTATTAGTTCATGTAAAGGCACATATTATCGTAATTGATATTTATCTTAACTGCAAAAATGTAAGACGTAAGACAGCCATCAGTATTAAGTTCTCGATCATTTAAAATGAGCCTTATATAAAGTATATTTAAAAAAAGGATGAAATGAGAAATGAGTTAATATAAAGTATGGCTACTAAAAGCCTAAACGTTCTTGCAATATTTTTAATTAACGTTCCTATTTAAAACAACAAACAAAGTACTATAATTTTTTTATGGAAAAGAGGGGAACTTCAAACGACAAAAAATTTAAAAAAATAGAGCTATTATGTGTTTCTTGCCCTTAAACAATGCTATGAGTATACATAATGGACAACGATGTGAAGAATTAAAAATGTACTATTTCATGATTTCAGTATAGAAATTAGCAATGAAAATGATATTACATTATACTCTAGTACAAGGGTCGGCAACTGGCGGACCGCGGTCCAGATCCGGACCGCGGAAGGTAAAATACTGGACCGCCAAAAATTTTTTGAAAATATAAATTACTCAAATAAATTATTTAAAAAATATTTTTTTACGTTTGAGTGCCACCCTTATCATTTTTTCTAGTATTTTACAATTGTGACTGATTTGAGTTCTTAATGCAAATGAAAATAAAAAATTTGTAAGAAATATGAATT